TGGCAAAGCAGTAAAATTCTTATCTCGTCGCCAACTAATTTTGTGATTGCATGCTGCGTCTGCCGAGAAAAAGCTGAGGGAGAGATGAGAAAATGCTCTGAATTTAAATTGGATTTTTGCGCACATTAAAATGCATTTTCCATCGGGTTAGTTATGAATGCATATGAGGTGACTCCTGGGTGGGGGTGGGAAAACTCTAGAAGAGGAAAGGGGACTACACTAAATGTTTACGTTTCCTGAGCGTCAGTCAAACATGGCAAACATTTAGCAATGTTTTTTCCAGCATTTTGGAAATAATTGCTGGACATTCCGGGCCAAATGGTAATGGCCATAAAAAGCCAGCTAGGCTGGCTGACTTGACGTGACGGTTAGCCACAAAACCAGCCAAAAGACAGCGGAAAAAATATACAATAAAACTGAGGGCGAAAAAGGGGTTAACAAAAATATATATAAAATGTAACGAAATACTCGCGACGTGGCCAGAACATAGAACATGGCTAATTCTTGCATGACAATTCCACATTCATAACCCTTTTTGTCCGCGCTGTTCGCCCTGTCCGCTGCCCGCCACGGTTAGCGGTCTCATAATTATTCTCTATGTTAGGCAGGAGATGGTTGGGTAGGTTAACTATGAGACCCTTTTGGGATAGGTGAGAAACTAAACTTAACTTTATGGTATTTTATAAACAGAAAACTTTGTTTTTTCTAACTCAAAAATTCAACTTTTTCCATATAACTCAAACATAGAGTACTCCCAAGTTTGCCATCTCTCATTTCCCCAAGTTTTCCCTCTCTGTGTCACGCCATTTTTTGTACTTTATATCATGGCATTTCCACGGCTATTTTGTAAACCGCGATTTGCGATTGTTCATTTCCAGCTCGCTGTTAATTGTTAATTTTTATGGTCTGGCAATTGCCAGCCAGATAACAGCCCACAGAAAGGAGAAAAAAGCAGAAAAAAGTAGAAAAAAACTAAAGGAAATAAAGAAATTAAAGTGGCCGAGAAGAAGAGCTTCTGGCTGGTTGCGAAAGGCCTATAAAAACAATTTAGCAGGCAATAAAAATTCTGAAAATAACATTAAATTGAATTTGAGCAACGTTCTTTCTTATTGATGGGTTAGATACGATAGAGCTAGGAAATGCTATTGATGTGTGGACTTAGGGGAGTTGGCCAATTGCCTGCCAACACCCACGCCTCAACAAGGAAACATCAAAAAGCGAGGCCATTAAAGGCTTCTTTTTCCCACAATTTTCTTTATTTGAGTCGCCTGCCAACCCTTTCACGCACTTACAGAGCGAGCTTAAACAAACAGGGAAAAATGTGAGGCTGGGAGGTTTCAATTTTAAAGTAAATATTTGCCTCCAGGGTGCTTTTGATATTTATTACCTCTTTTTTTTGGGAGAAGGGGCGGTTGGAGTTATCAGTTGGTCAGTAAATAGTGAGGACATTAGCCTCGAGTGCTGACCAGCCAAAGGCAATTTGGTTCCTTTTGGTTAATGGTCCAGAGACTGGCCATAAATTTGGGTATCTTTTAGAGTAATGACTATTGGTCTTTGGAGAGCTCCTGTCAATGCCTCGATCTAACTGGTTAATTCAAACAAATTGCAATTATGCCAACCCAACCACCCTAAAACCCAAACCAAACCAAAACCCAACTGAAAAGTCACAACAGACAGCTGACAAATGACTCAAAAAAAAAGGAGACGACATTAAGCGATTAACTCGTTCAGGCCAAGGTTGTAAATGTATCTCTGTGGAGCTGCCTTAGTCTGTCTTAGGGCAACTTAACATATTGTTAACGTGGGCAAACGGCTTGTTCTTCTGGAGCAATACCCAGCGAATGTCTTAAGGGGATTTCGGTGTCCTTGCCTGATGATGCGATCCAATGCGATGTCCAATGACATGCAAATGTATGCAGATCTCAGCCTTTTGTCATGTCAACGCAGGCAAATCGACAAGCCATCCGAAAAATGTGTCTAACCAACTCTTTGCTTTTTTTTTACTTTTCGTTTTTGCCTTTCCAGCCTTCGAATTTTTACTTAAATCTGCGCGCATGTTTTGTGCGGTAAATAAAAAAATGCAAAATAAATGCGTAAATCTCTAACATAGAGGTGGGGGGTAGGGGAGTCCTCCAAAGGGTCCAAATGTGTCTGCAAAGTTTGTTTTTTTTTTGCAGGTGCCATGTCTTTTGTGTGCGTCTGCCCGATTTTCAAGCGGAGGACAGGCTATGCCAGCGACAGTTCATCAACTTGACTTGTGATTTCCGGTTTGCGTTTTATTTTCTCTACTTTGTTACTTACTTTAAAAGCGGATTAGGCGGAGACAAACGCCCACGGTGGCATCAGCATATCCACATCCCAGCATCCCAGCATCCATAGCCAGCATTGACAGCATTGAGGTGAAGGGCTTAGTTAGCATGTCTGAGATCGCTGATGTGGGTTCTCGGCCACAAGTTGAAAGAATGTCAAGGTGGAATTAAGTTGATGATGTGAGGAAGGGATACTGGTGGTCTATGATAAATGTTTCTAAAGGAAAAGACTGTTTGGAAAGTTATAAAGCTTAATCTAGTTTACAACTTGAAGAAGGAGAAATGCATAGCTTAACCATGAGTTGGCATAACATATCAAGAACTATACCTTAAAGTTGAAGTTATCAAAATCTTAAAAGAAACTATCATCATCATAAAGCTTAAAGGAGTAAAAATGAAGTTAAAAAGCTGAGCAGGAAACCTCTTTGAGATGCCCATAGAAGGGCTTACAGGAAAGCCTCTCTCTGCCCTTCACCGAATCTACTATAAACCCCAACCATTTCCTATTCTACCTCATAAAAAAAAGAGCAATTCTCAGAATATTTTTTTACCTTTCCATCTCTTCCCAGCTAGATGCTGAACAGCTGCCGCAGCTTGTTTGGAATTCACACATCGACAGCGGCGCTTAGAAGGCCTTCGCTCCAGCCACTTACCTCGTCACACACCCCTCCCCCACCCAACCAACCAACCACCTGAGTCACTGACGGATGTGCCAAAAAATCCCAACCACTTCAACCTGAGGCTATTTGCTGTCTTTCACACACACACACGCAGCCACTTCCATGCCCCAAAAATTCTCTCGCTTTGGCGGCGGCAGTGGAAAAACAATTTTTCGAGAGTAGAAAAAATAAAGCGAAAATGTTTTAACGCTACAACGCATAATGACAACAAACAAATCGCTTCATTTAACCATAAATAGCTGCCAGCAGCGACGACGTTTAAAAAAAAAGCACACGAAATGAAAACAATTCGAAGCCGCTGAAGAAAAGCTGAAAAAATAATCGCTTACTGAACACGGCACATCATCATCATCATAGCCTTCGTTATGAGCCACGCCCTAAGGGCTAAAAGTCACTTGTTGTCACATTGGTTTTGGATGATATATAGATATATATACAGATATATATTGGAATCGGTGCAAAAGAGATGATCACACAAGCGTGCAATTAGATTGCTATGCCTGGGCGTTAATTATTCCCAGGTAATTGCTGCTCCAGTTGGGCGTGTCAACGCATGGAGCCACTTAGCTGGAATTGTTCTTGGTATTCTACACCTGGAAATGAAGTCAAATTAACAATAGAGGTGGCTAGCTCAAGGAAGGTAGGTTATAATTGTGATGATAACGATCAGAAGTCTTGGATGTTGCATTAATGGCCAAAGAACATGCGGAAAAGATTTAGGTGAGAATGGGTGGGTTTTCTCTTTTAATTTTGTAAGAAAGGAAAGAGTTGGCTTAAGTCAAGGGGGGTTTCTGTGTTTTTTTATAACTAATTTTTAGTATTAATCTTGGTTCTGATAGTAATCTAACCGGGAATTAGGAGTAAGTCAAGCGGAGTGGAAGATGTTTAAGATTTCAGCTGATAAAGTTGGATAATAAATCATAATTAAAGCTGTTATTAAAAAGCCTAAAAGAAGCAATGGTTCCTGCTTTAAAGATTTCTATAATTCATTAGAATTTTTTGTATAATTTTTATAAACCTTCTTAAGCTTAAACTTAGCTCTTAGCTTAAACTTTTCCCTTAAAAATCAAACCCCTGCTTATGAATCAGTTTTCCATCTCTCATCTAAATGTTTTCCCTTACCCTCCTTTCCTTAACCCCTAAAACACTTCCTTAGCTGTCCGAAAAATGTGACTTAAGCCAGCAAATTGAACTTGAGGCCAAACATGCAACTTCCTTCCTTGGCCAAAGTCCACTTCCTTGGCTTATCCTGACCCTTTCACAGCCCTAGCGAGGACACTGGGCATGTGGCATGCCAGGTTGCCATTTTCCGGTTACATTTTGAGGCTAATTAAATCCACGGCTAACAGAGAAAAAACCGAATGCTAAACGCTTTCCGGCATTGACATTTTTTCGCGAGTTGAGTGAAAAATATTAAGCATACGACATGTGCTCCCGGACCAAGCAATGAGATTTATGTTATGGTTGCCTTTTTTTCTCCCCCCTTTTTAACCGCAACAACCGCCACACAATTAAAAGCCAGGCAGGAAATGTTAACTTCGCGATATTTATGACACTTTAAAGGCTGCTTCAGGCGAGTCCTTGCTTGGGAGCCGTTAAGTCGAAGGCAGCCAAGGACTTTTGGCAATTAAAAATGCGGCTCAAGCTTATCGCACGCGCCACGGCAAGTGTTGTGTTTTCTCTGTTGGTTAAAAAGTTTTACGCGCCAGCCGAAAAAGGTGTCGAAAGTTTTAAGGAGCAAGTTTTCGCCGCAGGACTTGTAAGCCAACGCCATCCAGTTTTTCGGCTTTAATCCCGCTTGGCTCGCCTTTATTGCTGGTGATAAGGACTAAGTGTTCTTAGAATTTATTTGGTGCGGTGCTGGGGACAAGGCAATTAGCGGGCTAATCAAATAATCCGCAGCTAATTGTTGAAAGGAGTTGTTGCTGTAGTGGAAGAGGCTTTAATTTTGTCTAATAGCTGCTGGTTCTGGGAGCTCTTTCCTTCTGATTTAACTTCTTTCACACTCTAACTACTGCGGTTCCTTCTTTAAGCTGTAGAACAAAATGAAAACCATTTCTGTCAACGAGAAAAGCTGCAGTCCAAAGATCAAGATCATTTTTATATAGACCAGGACATAGTCCTCCATAACCAGCATGGCGGGGTTCGTTAGAAGTTCCTTGATATTTTGTATGGTAGTCCAAAAGCAGGTTAAATACTGCATCAAATAGGGTATGACGAAGACGCCTTTGAAGTTGTATTGCCTTTCGGTGGTAAACATTTTCGAGGGCATCATCAGTACTATCGTCGTGAATATAGCATACAGATTGGCCTCTACAAAGGCCTTGGTAATGTTGGTGATCATCAGACTTAAAACCGATTGACTTGACATGTAAAGGTGAGGACAAAGCTGCATTCCCCAGGCCGTGAGCATCAGGGGTAAGTAGATTCCAAGGAAACCCATACTGTACTGGACTTTCTTCAAAGATTTTAAAAGTTATATTCAAGTTTTCTAATAGATGTGATAGGAAATACTTTTCAAGGCTGATTAGTTTCAGATTCTTGATCATTTTTGATGAAGTTATAAGCAGTTTCGTTAAGAGTAGCAATCATCCGAATGCCAAAACAAACATCTTCCATAAATCAAGATGATTTTTAGTACCCAAAGAACTTGAATGCTTAACTTGAAGAAGCTTGTAAATTGCTGTTAAGTCCCTGATTTAACGTAAAAGCTGTAAATTCTTCACCCTTCTCCATTGGCCAGTCAAAAAAGTTAAACAGATTGAATGCTCCCGAAAGTTTAGCATTTTCCACCGATATTTCACACAGCCATTAACATTTTTGCGAAATATTTTCCGGCCACCCCTGTAGTTTCCTATCCCTTGAAGGAAATCCACTTTGATGCGCCTTTCATGTCCAGGAAACTTAGCAAAACCTCACACCTTCTTGGCATTTCGGTAGAGGACACACGTTGACGCACCTCATGCGGTGACAACGACCAAGTCGTGTACCTCTAATACCCGCGCAAAATATGACCAAAGCCCAGGGCGAAGTCCTTTAAGCACTCGCCACAGGACATAAAAAAAAGGCAACTGAAACTCAAAGCGAAGGCAAAACCTTAACAAGGCCTAAACACTAAGCGCCGCAAGTCAGAGAAAAGCGGTCTCTGAAATCTCCTCTCCGGCTCGAGGGAAATTTATGTGCCTCGGGGCGGTAACTTCATTATGCAATGACCTACTATGAAATGGGCTGCCGTTGCACAAAATTTATGTGCAAAGTTGAGAGACAGCCTAAGTACAGAAGTGCTCGGCCTGCCCAGACAACTCGAACTGCTTCAAGTTTTTCTCCTTTTTTTTTATTTACTATTTGTATTTCTCTTGGCCAAAAATAGTTTGTTTGTTTTTTTTATGGCTGATAAAAAACAGTTTGGCCTATTCAATGAGCTCAATGGGCAGTCTCGCAGCGATAAGTTTTGGCCTAATCAGGTGGGAACTTTGAGGGGCTTTGGCAGTTCTCTACTGACTTTCCCCTAGACCGGTATGTTGGTTAAAATTCTGCTATTCCTAGGACTTTTTGCCCTGACTTCGTGCCTAGAACAAGTCCGTTATGATAACTTTAAAGTCTATAAAGTGAGAATAGATGACCTGGAGCAGTTCAAACTGCTTAACTCTCAGGAGAAGGCCTTGAAGGTGGGTTGAAAAACCCTCCAACTATCCCTTTTAAACCTGAGAAAACTTTCCACAGCTCAGCAGTTGGCGTGAGGCTCGTCACCTGGGTGAATCCTCGGACATAATGCTACCACCTCAATACCAGGAGACCTTTGAAAACCTCCTGACCAGCCACAACTTCACCTATGAACTCAAGATCGACAATGTCCAGGTGCACATTGATGCCCAGAGACCCAAACAGCGTATTACCACCATGGAATGGACTCAATTTCATACTCTGGCAGAGATCTATGCCTGGCTGGATGTAATCGAAGAACGTTATCCGGATATAGTCACAGCTTTTACCATTGGAAACTCCTACGAAGGCAGACCTATAAGAGGCATTAAGATTTCATATCAGCAAGGAAATCCCGCTGTCTTTATAGAGTCCAACATTCATGCCCGCGAATGGATTACCTCATCGACCATCACTTACTTCATCGATGAGCTGCTGGTGCCCAGGAATCCTGCCGTCAGGGATATAGCTCAGAATGTCGATTGGTATATCATTCCTGTCCTGAACGTTGATGGTTTTTCTTATTCCCACGAGGTGGTGAGTCTAAATTGTTTACGTAATAAAAATAATGAATGGAATTGAAAGTGCAGCCGACGCTTGGAGATTAGATTTCACGATCAGATCAAATAAGTGCCGATGTCGTTATAATGCCGGTGTTATCTTATCGTCTACTACTAACTAGTAATCAATTAGCTCAATTAATGACCGATAATCTCTATTCCCATGACTTGTAGGAACGACTTTGGCGAAAGTCGCGGCTGCCCTCGGATCCTACGGGGGAGTGCATAGGAACGGATCTGAATCGGAATTTTGACTATCTTTGGATGTGTGAGTGGAGATTTTATATTATTATTACTTTAGCAAGTTAAATTCCTAACTAATATATCATTTATATAGTGACCGGAGCCAGTGACGATCCCTGCTCAGAGCTTTATGGTGGACCTTCTGCCGAATCTGATCCCGAGATCAGCCAGCTTACCGCCTACATAAACAACTCCATACCAGATGGCAGCATTAAGATCTATATATCTTTGCACTCCTATGGTCAGTATGTACTATCGCCCTGGGGGCACACTGCTCTTGAGTTCCCTGAGCACTATCCCCAAATGATGCACGTGGCCAAAGGCTTTTCCGATGCTCTACTCAGGAGATATGGTACGGTTTTCACCTACGGATCCAGTGCCACGACTTTATGTGAGTTTTTCTATATATCTAGGATTCTTTATAATCCCTTATAATGGTGTATATCTTTCAGATGAGGTCTCTGGTTCGGGCAAGGAGTGGGCCTATGCGGTGAAGAACATCAAGATACCCTACACCATCGAGCTGCGGGATAAGGGAGAACTGGGCTTTGTCCTTCCACCAGAGGATATAATCCCTGTGGCTCGAGAGGTTACTGAGGGCTTTGTTGGCATGATAGCAGCTGCCAGGGAAATTGATATATTGTAGATTGTTAATAATATATAAAATATATGGCATTTAGATCAAAAAGTGAAAATTTTCTAATAAAAAATATTTTTTAAGAATTTTTGTTGCCAAAAATCTGTTCTAGAAGGTAAAAATCCAAATTATTTGTAACAAAAAGTTATTAACTATTGCAATTATTAATAATTTAACCTTAATAGAAAATCAAACCCCCTTTTCTATCACAATTTCTCCCCCATTTGGCGGCGCCACTGTGTCGAAAGCTTTTGCTCCGCCCCAAAAACGAGTCACTTGCCGAAGCTTCCAATCAGCGACGACGCAATGTTTTGTGGGGGAAAAAGCGGGGAAAAGTCGAGGAAAGTGAAGGGAAAGGGAAAGCGAATGCTGCCGAACCGAGTCCGTTGATAAGGAACACTCCGGGGCTGCATTCCCAGCTTTCTTTGGCGTTTTTTCCGGGCACTGGCAAAAGTTTTGTTTTTGTTTTTTTGTATTTTTTCGCTTGGCCAGAGAGTCTCCGCCTCTTTTCAACGCGCGCGCAGCATCCTGTTGGAAAAGGACGAGGCTGCTCCACCGTTGGATGCCCATCTGGATATATACTATACTCTGCTCCTACAATGTACATATGTGCGAGGGAAAAGCAAACGCAACGAATGGCAAGCGACCAGGGAAAATCTTCAGATTGTCCGCAATATGGCGTCAGTCTTCCTGGTACATAGGGATATATATATTATATGATATGATATATATATGGGATATATATAGAAGCCTTGGCTTTAGTTTTTGTTTTTGTTGTTGTTGTATGCTTGCACTTATTTTTTTCAATTTGTCTAATGAAATTGCGTTTTCCACTTGCGTCGCTGGCAACCAAAAATAAAAATAAAAAAAAAGGAAAAAAAAGGAAAAATGACAGCAAGGAGGGAAATAAAATGGCAAGAAAAATCTTGGAAAATTCGAGAAAATATAACGTTGACACTTTTTGCACTCTGGCTCCTTGACAGTGCGTTCTGTTGTCCTCTTCCTCATCCTCTTCCTTAGCCTGATGTCCCATGTCCCATGTCCTGTGTCTGCCTTTTCACTCACAGTTCTCTCTGCATATAAATTGAAATTTACTAACCTCGCCTCGCCTCCTCTTCTGCTGTTGTCAGTTGCACCTTTATGACAATTTTCCTGCCACTGCCACAGCCACTTCTTTTCTTCTACATTTTCTTTTTTCTCTTTCACTAGGTGTGTGTTGCGCATATTGCGGTGATGAATTTTTCCCTTTGAGTTATATGAAAAGAAAGCTACAGAGTTGAAGGGAAATGGCAGCCCTAGCAGAAGCTGAAGCTCAAACTGGTAGCAATAAAAACTTACTTAGCCAAATTGCAGTAAGCTAGGGGTTAGGGGGGTTAAGGGAACTGCTGCTAATTTGTATGATTTAAAGTGCTGAAAAAGATTTACTGTCTCGGAATATTTACTAGATTTTTATAGGTACCCAGAAGTTGACAAGAAAAAAAGTTAGAAAGACTAACTAGGGGTTAAGTTATGCTGAAAGACTTCATTCAGAGACAATCCTAGTCCCATTTTATCTAAACAAACAATTAAGAACTGCTAGACTTATGCAGATTTCCTAACCATTAAAGTTTTCCACTCCTAATTGCCTTTTTCCAACCATAAATTTCGACCAGCAACACCCAATGACTCATTGAGACCGCCAACTCCCCACAGAATAACAATTATTTATCCAAACACCAACTCTAATTTGATAATTCAATTATGCATTTCAATTCCCCCGACAGCCAATCAAGAAATCAAATCAAAGTGGATTGATTTTGGCGACCGAACCCCAAACTCCAAGCCTTAATTGCTGCCAAGGCAATAAACTTCAACGGCAATTGACGCTTGACACTTTGAGAGCTTGAGAACCAGCTGGTAGCTGTTAGGAGATCTCAGAAAAGAAAGGATATATATATATGGTATATAGTCTTTGAGCAGGGAAAGTATGACGATGGATTGGATATTCCCAACGCGCGTCATGAAGCTGCGGCGTCTGCGCCTTTTTTGGACGTTTCTCAATGTGGCGATGATGGCTTTGGCTTGGAAACAGTTCCTCCGAGATGATCGCATAGTGCTGAGATGCTGGCGCTCAAATGGAGATCCTCGTAGCCGTACGCCTACCTACCAGAAGTTATGACAGTCCACAGAGCTTGGGCGATCCTTAAATGGTAGAGAAGAAACCTCCGTTTATGGACCGACGACACAGAGACGACGACGCTGGCGTGTTGACAATGATGTTGGATGATTGGTGTTTTGTGGCCGTTTCACAGGAAAGCCAAGGGTTCCCGTTTTCCCCAGAAACGTTACCAAGGAGACAACAAGGCTCTCTGCATTGCATCTCGTCTTAGGTCTTGGCTTTCCAGACTTCAGACTTGAGACTCTTTCTTAGTCTCCAGCCGCTGCCTTATATGCCAAGTCTAGACAGGCTGGAAAAAATCACAGCACAGCATCGGAATCATTCAGGCATTGCCAAGTTTGGTGAGGAGACCTTCCTTCAATGATTGCCCCCATGAATGAATGAATCGGAGAGAGACTCTGCTGTCGCCGGTCCAGCAGCAATTAGTATGCGCAGATTGCGATCACTCGGAAGTAATGCTAATTTCCCTTGTCTACCCGGTTACCCAAATGGGTAGGAGTTGCAGGAGGTGGAGGAATGGGTATGCCTGTGTCTTTGCTCCCAGTGGGGCAGATGTGATCGCTGTTTACTCTTCTCTAGAGAAAGTCCAAGGGTTTGCTAAGATTTTTCAGGTTGGAAATAGATAAAATTTCTGAAATTTGTCTTATGATTTCCCCATTTCTTCTCAATTCCTTACCTTTTACAATATCTATTTTGCAAGCCATTTTATCATATTTATCAATATTTGCCAAGTTCAGAGCATTCTTAGGTTTTTATCCCTAAAGTCAAGTCACCTTCCTAGCTTCATCTTTCCCATTCCCAGCTCAGCTTCCTTCTTGAATCCTTTAACCTCGACTAGCCGCTGAGCTAGTTTTTCTAAGCTTTCCGATACTCACTCAAAAAGGCCTGATGCATTGGCCCAGGAGATGTCATTAACATTAGACGCGGAGCAGGTGAATGAATGCAGCTGACAGATGAAGACAGTTGTGGGTTTGGACCAAAGAATAGGGAAGAGGAGTGGCTGGAGGTGGAGTCCATTATGCAGGCAGCTTGTCTGTGCCATTAAGAGCGTTAACAGGAGGACATTAGTATCCTGTAGGCAACACCTGACGCAGCAACGGCAACGGCAACGGCAACTTCAACAAGACGAGGTCAACTTCAGGCAAAGACATGCAAATGCGATTTAGTCAGGCAGGGCAGAGAACGAGAGGGGGGAGGAAAACTGGAGCCACTTGGGTTGCCTTGGAAAATAAGAAAACAACTTTTGTGCGCTAAGCAGATGAAGGACAATTTGCATATAGTCCACGGATGGGAGGACAGCCAGCGAAATCAAAAGCTTTTTAAAGGATATTCTCTATAATTTCACGCTTAAAAGGCGGGGGCCAAGTCCGAATATCCTTAAAACCAGGATGTTTGCTTAGCATCCTGAGGGGAAATTAAAGAAAGAAAGAAAAAGAAGAAGCTACACCCCCATGGTACGAAAGCAGCCGCTGTTTTACCCACGTGCCAAGCGGCTTAAACAGGACTCGTCGACGTCGTCGTCCTTCTTCATCCTGGGACATTTGCATGCGACTTTTAAATCAATTATTGTTAAATATTTATTTCTTGGCAGTCCATTTCGACGGCGTAACAGGGAATTGTCTGCTCGGTGGGCATATTATGCTAACATAAATTACATGATTGATTTCATTCGAAGGGCCGCGGCGGCTCACACACTTTTGTTGGCCTGGCAAAACAATAGGGAAAAAAGTAAACAAAATGCAAATTTACTACAGCTTTTGGCTTGATTAAAAAGCTTAGAAATTAGCATATCATTTGTGCCAGCTATTTGCTGGCATTTAGAAAAATATTGATTGGCTGGGTGGAAGGAGGAAAGGTTTGATATTTTTGCATTTTGATAGAAGACAGGAAGTAGGCCGGCTTTTAGGAGTTAGAAAAGTAAGTAATAGAATTCTTTAGAAGTTTTTAATAACATAAATGCTTAATTTTATAATTTTTATTAAGTATTTTATGTGGGAAACCCCTTTCTTATCTTTAATTTTGATTTTTGTTTCTAAACTTCCCTGAAAACTCATTTCCGAACCCATTTTGGGACCTTCAACTTTTCGCCTCGTCTTTGGCCAACTTTTACCCAACTATATATATTTAGCTACCTTTTGCTCTTTATTTATATATATTATATTCTTTTTTTGTATTTTATTTTTTACTTTGCCTGGACCAAGTCTCCTCAGCTGAGGCAGCAGCGTGTGTTTTGCTCACTGGCGCGTTGACATCGCCATCAAAATGCTTTGACGTGGTTTTTGATTGACAGGAAACTCATAAATAATTCATGTCATTAAATCATGTTACATTTTTTTTCTTCCCCCCCTCCCCAGCTCTCTGGGACGAGCAGTTCAGCTCCTCTGCTTTCGGGTCGGTCCTCTTATACCGCGCCATCCACTAGTTTCCAGCATCTTTACCGTGGACCATTGAAACGAGTTTCATCCAAGGTGGAGAGTTGGACATTTGGGCAGCTCTTCTCTCGGTTTTTATCCAACCTCTTCTTCCGAGGGAGCCTCCTTCTTCTTCTCCACTGCAGTTCTCTAGCAATTAAATGTCAAAAACTGTTTCTCTTCTCGCCTGCTTCTCCGGCTTGTAACTCAATTCAGTTCTTGAGTTTTTCCCTCTTTCTTTTTTTTTAATATTTTTCCTGCTGCGGAAAACTTGAAGAAAATAAGTTTTCAATGAATATAATTATGCAAAGCAGCAGCAGCAGCGGGCAAGTCGCCCTCCACTTGGCTGGACCTTAAGAGGCTCTCAAAGAAAAAAAGGACATTAAAATTATATAAAAGCAGCTTGGCGAAATTTCAATATTTCAGCTACGTTTTCCCCTCATTTCCACGCTGTCATTATATTTTATTATTTCTTGTTTTAATTCCTTGTTTCATCATTTCACAATTTCTGATGTTTTATTTTCTTATCTTTTCTACGCTTTTTCTCTTTTTCTCCGCCTTGTCAATTGTCCTTCGCTGGAAAGTTTTTAATTTTTATCAAAAGATTTCCCGCCTTGCTGCTGTTTTTAATGAAATTTCCTCGCCTTGTCCTGTGTAAAGGATTGGGCGCGGAATCGAAATTTGCATAATTTTTTGTCAGCCATTTTTAATTTGTGATTTTCAGCAGCCGAGTGAGTGTCCTTAAAAAAGTTTCCGCGGGTGTCCTTTTTAATTAAAGATATTTAGGGGCTTAAAAGATGTTTTTCTAGGCCTGGGAAAAAGTCTAAAAAAATATATTAACTTTATTTTAATATTTTTAAAGCCATTAAGACTGTTTTAAGGCAAAGATTATCTTCCCTTAAGATTTCCCAAATATTTAACAGCTTAAATCTTAAATATGTTACTTCCTGATTAGTCATTCTCATTACCCCAAAGTGTTTTCATTAAATATCATTAGATATATCTAGGAATAAGCACCCCTCTTTAAGCCATAACCCGCATTGGTAGCATCTCCTAGCTGGTCTCAATCTGGCAAATCATTTTAATTGCTTTCCCCACCGCACTTGGCCAGCCTCCTCCCTCCTCCAAAAAGGCATCCAGATCAGAGGTTTTAGCCTTTGTTGTTGGCGATTGTGTGCGGCGATAATAATTACACGTCACGCTGCCACGCAATCAAAACATTATTTGTGCAAAATCACGGAACTGAACTGAAGCGGAAGTGATGAAGGACTTATTGGCTGCACGCGTCCGCCGTCGTCCTCCGTCGAGAAGGAAAAAAGTTTAAAAAATATTTGGTTGACTGGCTGACTGGCTGGCTGGCTGGGTGGGCGTAGCGCACCCCATTTGCATTGCACCCAAGTCTCAGGCGACTCCATGGCCATGGCCGTGTTAAATTCAACACAACGCGTGCGGTCACGTGGCTAGCCGACACGCCCACTTTCATGATAGTCACAATCGACAGTCAGTCGAGATTTAAACAAAACGCTTCCACCGCTTCCATCAAACGTCATTCAGGGCCGCGAAACTCCTTTACTTGCCGCCGTCATTGAAAATCGTCATCATCAGCACCAGCAGGGCAACCAAAAAGACTGGGAAAGTGCTGCGGAAAATCGCTGGAAATTATGTAAATTGTTTTTTGTCAATGGTTGGAGTGACTGGCAGAGATCGAAAGGAGTGCGAAAATTTGCCTAAATGCTGGCATGACTTCACAGCAGGTTCAGACTGTGGCAGACAGCGGGAAAAAATGCCAAACAATGTGACAGAAACATATGTTGCCATTATCAGGAGTTAACCAAAGGGACAATCCTTTAGCAAGGATTCTATATAATTCGGGGAAGGATGCTGATTGGTTGGGGAAGCAATTCTGGTTGGTAAAGGTCTTGGGTTTGCAGGAAAATTAAGAGTTTATAAGGAAAATCTAAGCACAAGAAGGTTAATCTTAAGAAGGCAAAACTTGGTCCTGAAAGATTTTTGTTCCAGTTTTTTAGTCTTAATAAGAAATATTTTGACCAAGATATTTCCCCGTTTATTTAGCATCCTTAAAAGCCATTTCCTTTAGCTTTTCCTTTAACCATTAATAAAAGACTGCAAAAGCCAACCCCGTTTTAGCCCAATCCCTCGATCAATGGCTAGATATCATTTCGCATTTGTTAGATATTACTTCCTGTCCGCCATGACCATATACATTTCATATTTTCATTCCCACCAAATCCGAGATAACCCAGCGTTGACCACCCCCTTGAGAAGGCGATATATAGTGGCAATTCCTGACCCCCCTAACCACCCACCCATCGACGACGACGACGACGACGACACACGTCCGTGGCAATAAAAGCGCAAACGTTTCAATTCCGTTGCGGCTGACAAATGCACGGAAAAAATGCCAACGATTCTGCCCCAAAAATATATTATAATGATAAAAAAAAAAGAAAACGAAGGGAAAGCGAGTGAGTGGAAACGAAGGAAAGTTTATCTCGATGCTGTCGAGTGTTTTGATTTGTAACGTTTCTCACTTCATTATTATGCAATAAATAATGCCATCTACATGTCCCGCCGTCTAATGAAATGCAGAAGGGCCGGGGATTCGCAGGGGGTTGGTTCCTGGTCCTGGTCCCGGCTTCTATATCCTTGGACAGAAGTGGAAGTGGAGCGTAACGCTGGTCAGAGAATCATTGCTGTGGAAATTAATGAGGCCTAACATGACAGGGCGCGACTTTTTTGCAAAAATCTTCTTTTTTTTTGGTAAGTAGGGAGGGAATATAAGGACTAGGATTATAAAGATTGGATAAAGATGAGAAGTTATCAATCAAAATTGGTAAGGATAACCAAAGGATTAAGGTATTAGTTATAGGAAACTGATTAGATTAACCTATTGTAAAGATCTATTAGTAAAAAGATATTAAAAAATGATTTAAAGAGTCCCTACCTCTTTTAATCCCCATTTTTAAGGTTTAAAAAATGTTAAAAAAAATGAAACCCAAAACTAAAAAGTTTATTTGTAGCTTAAATAAGGGTTATAATTTCGTATAACACCCCTTATCAACCCCTAAAACCCCAAGAATAGGGGCTGGCCTGACCTCTGGAGGAGCTTTCTGGAGATTCTCAAACAGCTTTCGCGTTGCCAATCAAAGGGAAACTTTCAGCAGCGCCAAACTTAAAGCTTACTTCCCTCCTAAGGGGTAGCTTTAAATGCCACCCCAAAGCTTGCCCTTTGCTGAAAGCTGCCCTGCTATGTGGTAGCATTGAACCCCTGTGCCAAAGCTCCGCCGGAAAACCCACCCCCATTTCGATGGGCACTCACCTTCAGCGCATTCGTTGTGTGTGTGCTGGCATGCCGCACTCGCACACTCTCTCTCTCTCTCTCTACCACTCTCTCTCTCGCGAGGAACTCGCTCTCTTTGGTTCGCCTTTTTTTTTGTGAGTGACACAAAGAGGAGTGTCAGCAGCATAAATTTCATACAAAATTCCACACACTCGCAACGCGTCGCAGATACTTTTCGGCAAAGCAGGAAAAAGCCAGTGTAAATAATTTGAATGCAAGGGAAATCCGAAATGGAAAGTGGCAAAAACAGTTCCTCTTAGTTAGTTATTAGCCAAAAAATGTTGTAAATAAACGGTGAAGTGCGTTTCGTTTAGCGGTAAATCATAGTGTGTATTCGTGTCTGTGTGTGTGTGCGCCTCTGTTCGAATTGGCCAAATGCGCCCAAGTGTTCCCCAATGAGATAAATCAAACAAGTTTCTTGCGGGGCAGCGGCCACCCGAAGAAACGCCATGGGAATGGAAATTAAATTCAAAATCCAAGCAATCATAAATAAAACATAAATTATGTTTAGCTGCCAGTTGGCGCGGCAACAAAAATAATAAAAAAAAAAAAAAAAAATAAAAAAAAAAAAAAAGAAGAGAATGGGAAAAAAAAACGCTGTGAGCCAAGCGGATATATTTTGATTTTTTTTTTATAAATAGAAAAATCAATTTCGCACGCGAAGAGAGAGCTCTCTCTTTTTTGGCGCGCGCCTGTCTGTGTCTGTCTTCCCCCGAAAAACTGGAGCATGTGTGCGTGTGTGTGGCTGGCTCTCCCGTGTCGGTGTCTATTATAATATCCAGTGAGCGAAAGAGCCAGCCAGCCAGCCAGCCGAGAGTGGCCGAGTGAATGCGAGTGCTCCCTCATTCTCTCTTTCTGCGAAAATAATTGAATATAATTCAAGTGTTTTTGTTGCCCACTATTTGTTGTGCTTATTATTGTTATTATTTGTTTAAATTACCAAATAACAACAAATAACATAAACAACTGAAACGCGCGCGTGTTTTACCTTCAAAAGGCATTCGGAATTGCCAATAATACCAACATCAAAATAGAGACAAAACGGCTCTCGAGGAGAGCGAATTCCGAAAGTGCTGCATCCCTGGTCAGAAAAACCCTTTTTATGGGTTTGTCCTGTTTACAAATTGACGCTGCAAATTGAATTTATAGCACGGCCGAAACAAGTGGTTGAGTGCCAGCCAAGGGACCCACTTAATTTCCGTTATAGTCCCCAAAAATCGAATACGGGAAATAACAGTACAGTGGAGCATCTAAAAGTGAACTTTATCGGTATTTTAAAGATACTGTAGCTGCATAGCTTATACTCTCTTAGTCTCTTGCAAGCTTAAAAGTGAAGATCGATAACTTTATAGGAAGTCCTTCTTTAATTTCTAAAATTAGAAAAAAATATTGCCTACTTCTAGGCACTTTCCTTAAAGCTTTTAAGCCTTCACTAGGATCTATGGCAAGAAAATGTTATATTATTAATAAAAATAAAAGTTGATTTCTAAAAATATTTAAATTACAAGATACTAGAGTATTTCGAAAACCCTAAAAAATATTTTAAAATTAAATATTTTATTTCATTGGGTTAAAAACCTCCTTCCCATTTGTTTTCTTCCTCATTACCTAAAAAATTTCACTTGACTTAGCCAAGTTGGCCTGTATTTGGTTTAAACTGGAAATAGGTGGCTGGTTGAGTGGGTGGCTTGGGTGGTATTTTCCCTGAGAAAAACTCACGCACAAATGTATTTCCCCCCGAGGAGCAGTTGTTGCTGTTGCCGCTGCCACTGCTTGAATCTTTCGAAATTGACAGCGGCAATAGAGGCAGCAACAGCAACAGTAATAGCAATAGGAACAGCAATAGCAACAACAACAGCAAATCAAATAAATTAAATTTACACACATAGTTAAATTAGTGAAAATTGAATAAAACAGAAGAAAGAATAGACGAAAGAAACGTAAATAAAAGACGAGAAGCGAGAGGTGGAGAGTGACGAGCGGCAGACAGAGCGGGAGAGCCAACGTGTCGAGCAACAAATTAATAATAAAAAAAAAAGAAGAAAAAATATAACAACAACAGCAACAACAACAACAACAGAAAAAGAAACACAAATTGAAAACAACAACAAAAGCAAAGGCAGCGGCAGCGATTCTGGATTTCTAGAGGCAGCGGCACATTCAAAAGATGGGCTGTGGACAGAGCAAGATACATTTGTATCCCAGGAAATCGAAGAGTAAAGCGAACGGCAAGAAAGGAGGACATGGTGAGTACACAGTCAGGAGAGAGAGTATATATATCCTTTGGGTCCTGAAATTATAAGATCCATATATATGGTGCAGAGAGAGAAACTAGAATTAGGAAGGCTAGCTAGAAGGGCTAGCTATTAGTATGACAAATTTGAGCTCTTTTTTTTATCTATTCAACTTAATACCTTTTCTTTTTTCATTTTTCTCATGTCAAAAGAATCATTTAATCTATCAAATAAACTTTTTATTTCATGTTCTTTGCCTATACATTGATGTTCTTTTTTGCGTGTTCAAAATTGATATTGTTTTGATACATTTTAATGACCCAATCATTTTAAAAGAAAGAAAAAAAACGAAATATGAAAACGATCTACGGAAAATATCAACATTTTCTTCTGTGTTGAGAGGAAAAGAGGAGGAAATACGGGGGAAATGATGAGGAAAAAGTATTGCCTCGCACAACAAAAGCTTACACGCATGACGACATCAATTTGCCTCCAGCTGTGTGTGTGTGTGTGCGTGTGTCTTCGTGTGTCGTGTTGCTAGTGTATATGTGTGTGAGCCACCTGTTTCCACACACAATGAGGACATCATTGATTAATATGTCACCAGCAGTGAAAAAATAGAGGAGAGGTGCGGAAGGAAGAGCAAGGAGAGGCCCAGTTTTAAGGCCATGCATTCACCAAAGTAATAATAAAGGCCTACATTTTAAAGCCCACAGCATTGTCTATATATATACACCAAAATACACACACATACTAACTTGTTTGCTCTTAAGTTTATAAAAAAATGTGAAAACCTAGCCTACATGGCAAACTTTTGACTATGCCCAACCCCTCCTCTCTTTTGTGGTTGTCTGTGGCTGTGTGCGTGTTTCTTGTTGCTGTTTCTGTTTTTTTTTTATATTTTGTGTGTGTATAATTAACTGCTAAAAAGGCAACTTGTTGTTGCATTGGGCGCCGCTTCAAGGGGTGTGGCCTAGGGGGCTGGCCCTCTGTGTGTGTGTGTGTGTAAAAGGGTTAAAGCTAAAAAAGTATAGCATACACAAAGGCGCCATTGTGCCATAAACGACCCAAATTTTTCGTAGGCGCCTAAGCTTTAGTCTCGGTCCTAGATTAATTATTCATAATACTCGGCTCTCTTTGAATTTGCATTAAAATGCATAACGGTTTTTAATTAAATTTATGGGTAGCGGGCCACTTCAAAGAATGGCCCAAGGAAATATTAAGTATACGCAAGACAAGCCGAAGGTTCCGAAACAAGGATTACCCAAGGAAAGAAAGGAGTAAGGAAAGGATGGAAGAAAGAAAGGAAAGAAGAAACCTTAGTTTTTAGAAAGACTGATTTATTTAGTAACAACTAGTTTTTCTCAGTGCCCACATTCCCAGGTCCTAGCATAATTTCTACAAGTGTTTTCTAAGCATTTTTCCTCCATTGCCCGCCCCCTTTACTTACTTGGCTTATTGAAAAACTTTTGCCACTCGCGAAATTGCCCACTCATCTTGACTAATGCTCGAAACTCTTCTTTGGCATTATCCATTTGTCTGGCAGCCGACTCAGATGCCGAAACGGACGAGGACGAAGGCCACATCGAGGATGCCGAGAAGGCACAACAGCGCGACCGCGAGAAGCATGACGAGAGCGAGGAGCTAAGCAATAAGGACATCCAAGACAGTGACGAAGACGTAGCCGTCTCCCTGCTGCGTGCCAAGAACTTGTCTCTGCTCCAAAGCCAGTAAGACATCCCATTGTCCATTTAACCGAAAATAAACACCTCACTTTTCCAGGGAAATATCATCTAGCCAACAGAACTTCTTCCGCATGCTGGACAAGAAGATCGATGAGGTGAGAGATTGTTTACAAAAACAAAACAAGCAGGGATTTTATGATCATAAATTATAAGTATCTAGGGGATTCCCGAAAGCTCTAGTCCATTAAGTTTGAAACTATTTAAGTGCTTTGTTTGTCTGTTTCCAAAAACACAAAACTTCTAAAATAAGAAATATCATAAATTTGAATTCATTGACCTGGAATATATATGTATTGCATCTTAAAAGCACGACTGCCATTAAGGCACCTAATTTATGAATTTAAACATATATATATTTTCATCTTGTCTAAATCTTTGGACAGCCTTTCAACTTATCTTTTTTTGCTAAATAATTTTGCTTAAATGGTCATAATATTGCTATGCAATTGCCTGTTCCTTGATAATAAACAAATGGCTCGCTGCCCAATGATCAGACTACAAATGTACTTAGTATTTGGTTGCGCCAAATCGAAATAGCAAAACCATTTATTTTATGGCCGCTAATTTGTTTTTTTTTTCGAACAAACATGTGAAATACCATTAAAATTAGCGTGTTACCTGTAAATTAGACTTCAAAGAGTTGAGAAAAATATATGCAGAGAAAGAAATATTTATAAGATTGAAGATCAAATTCGGGAATGTTAAAATTTATACATTAATTATTACGAAAGCATGTTAAAAAGCTTTCCTAATTTCATTTGATTACTATACAAAGTTATAATTTGATTACCAAACCCCTTTTTATTCCTGTGTATAAACCTACCTAAAATCATTTCTTCTTTCAGGGTCCCGACTACGACTCGGCCAGCGAGACGGAGATCGCTCTGGAGGAGGCCCGACTGAACGCCCTGCGTCAACATTGGGAGTCCGCCAGCATAACGGCCTCCATCTGCTCCTCAGCCAGCCGTTCGTTGCAGACGACGCCCATACGCCAAGTGCAGGTGCCTCTGAAACAGCCACCCCGTGGCGCTGGCCTGCTGCTACAGCCTTCCAGTGCGGCAGCGGTAACAGCCTCCTCTTCGACGATAGTCACGCTGCCCACGACGGAGTATCTACCTCAGCATGTGCTGGCGGGGCGGCAGCAACAGCAACAGCAGCAGCAACAGGCGGCAGTGCTCTACCAGCAGCAACAACAGCAACTAATCCTGCTGCCACAGTTGGATCCTAATGTTGTCAACACGTCCACGGCGGCAGCAGCGGCACAGCTCGTCCAGCTGCAGCAGCAACATCAACAGCAGCAGCAGCAGCAGCAACAGCAACTCAATCAGCAGCAACAGCAACTCTACCAGCAGCAACAGCAATATCTGCTATCCCTACCCGCCGGAGCCAAGCCGCAGAGCGTGAGTCCAAAGCGCCTGATCTATGGCAGCACCGCTGTAGCTGGTCCGCCGGGCACTACCGCCTGCCCACCGCCGGCACCACCTCCTTCCGTTCAGTATATAGCCGCCGGTTCAAGCGGTGGCTTCCTTAATGGCGCCGGCGCCATTTCCGGAATTGCAGCGGGGCGAGGACCCTTGCAGCTGGCCTACTACGGTGCCGCACCCCCGAGCACTGCCCCTCCGACGGCGACGGCCCTATCCAATGCCCCCGAAACGTACGAACCGCCAACCGCTCCACACAGCCAAATTCAGCAGCAACAGCCACCGCCTCCTCCGCCGGGCGCCTATTACGGCGAGATGATGCACGGTGTACAGGTGAGTTATCTTTGATAAGATATGAGAGTTTCGTTTATGTGACATGCTGGCCTTTTTCCAGGCCGCTCCGGCGGCGGAATACAAGTTCCCGCCGGCCATTAGCGTGCAGCGATTGGCGCCTCAGGTGCAGCGGCAGTTGCGCGAGACGCAGGAACTTATAAAAGACTCGTGCCCGCAGCTGTATGCAGCGGGCTATGGCAGCCCAGGACCACCGATACGCAATCCCAGCAGGAACCCAACTAGAACTAGACCCACCCTGGAGACCCAGTTCTCGCAGGAACTCTCGTGATATCTATATATGTAAACAGCCAGCAGACGTAGGATGCACACCCACGTTCAGACATACACATAAATACAGTTCGTTACAAAAAAAAAACTGCAGCCAAAGATGAAAGCTAAAATTAATCCAAATTAAAAAACAAAAAACAACAACAACAGACAACCCATGACAAAGAAAAAACCAAGAAAAACCAAAAAAAAAAGAAAGAAAATCGAAGAAAATCAATTATGAAATTGTAAAACTGCACTCAATGTTTCAGACCCTCAGAACCCCCCCAGGCGGGCAGACTCCTCGCCCCCTATATGCGTACTACTTACAAAAAAGATGAACAACAACAACAACAACAACTACTAAAAAAAGACCTAAGCGGAGCAACAAATAAAGCATTAAACAAACTACAAGAAATATTCAAGAGGCAGCCAAAGAACCGACTAGGCTAGGGCTATAGGCGAGTGTGTTGGATGAGAAAAAAGCGCAAGGTACATAGATTTAGGAATCGAGTATAAAGTTATAATGCGATATATACATATAGTATATATATATATATGCAAATGCCACAAAAACAAGGATGAGGTTAGAGCCCGAACAAAGCAAACACAAATCATACAAAGTAAAATAATATAAAGTGTAACAAACAAATGACTTCTACATTCTCACGCAATTTTGTTAGTCATAAACAAAAAAAAAAGAAAAGAAAAAACAATCTCATGGTGTAATTTTTTAAACAAATATTTTCCGTCAAATTCTCGAAGTATGATAATGATGATAATGATGATGATGTAACACGTTGATAGAATGTTCGTTGGATATGCAATTAAACGGATGAAGCTGTCTAGTAATATTTGTATAATTTAGTTCTATTTATTATTATGATAATTTTTGATGTATGATAGTTTTTCTTATATGGATATATATATATATATATTTAAAAATGCAAAATAAAAGCAAATCAATTAAGTTTAAAAACTTACCCTGTCTCTTCTCTCTTTGGCACTTACAAAATACTTAATACAAAATTGAACTTCTAATTAATTCCTTTATTTATATCTTGTTATCAATTCATACTTATGGGCTCACATAAAATGGAATTGCATTTTATATATTTTTCAGAAAGTATTTTAGTTGTTGGTTGGTTTTTGTTATTGTGTGAAAAGTATCCAGCTAAGCAATTCATTAGACTAGTCACATAATATGGTTTAAGATGACATTATAATACGCGTTTGATTCTAAGAAATTGACATTGTTCCTTATGTGTTTACATGTGTGTGTGTGTGTCCGATATTGTGAAAAGTGTTCGGGATTAGTTTTTCCCATTTCAGAGTTTTTGTTTTTTTTTTTTTTTAGTGTTTCCTAGTAATCCGATTGAATCTAATCTCTTTTGGCTTGGATTTGGTTGGAGCATTGCAAACATTTCTTTTGCAGTGTATGAATAGATAGGTACAATATTCGAGAATTGTATAAAGAAATCAAATACGCCCTGGGCCGTGGAAATATAAATGCCAACAACATCGATGATGATCGGCACTCGAATGCCCTAACAATTTGACTAAACCAAAAGCTTATCAACTAAATTGGGTTTTTGTTTCTTTGTTTTTTGTTTTGTTTTTCTTCTTTTTTTTTTTTTTTTAAAGGGGAAACATAGAGATTTATCAAATTAAAAGCGTATTTGATTCCAGATTAAACCATATTATATAGCTATGACGTGGGCGGAGGAGATCTACACGAAACGTACACCAACAACGCTCATCGACGACATCTTTCCCTATTGAAGTCTCTCTCTGGACTCGTGATATATAGTTACTTTGTTGTGTACATTTATACGGGTGGTGTACGGATGTGCGTGTAATGTTCGTGTGGGGGAAAAGGAAATTACAGTAGAGTGGGATCTACGATTTGGTAGCCTCTTTTTGAACTATAGAGCCTCTAGTTCTGCACGGGCAGCGGAGGCGGCGGATAGGCAAAGATATCCCCACCGTTCGCCATCATATAGGGAGCCGCCTGCGTGGGTACTGCATACTGAGGGCGGTACGTATTGGCCACCGCCGCTGCTCCTCCGTTCAGCGACACGGTAGCCATACTGGAGGACATCGACGAGTACTGGCCATATGCCTGTGGTGTCTGCATTTGTTGCTGCTGCTGCTGTTGCTGGGGTGTCTGCAACTGTTGCTGCTGGGCCGCCGCCGCCGCCTGCTGTTGGTTCATTGGTGGCGGGGGCATGTTGGCGAAGTTCATGTTGTATGGCGAGAAACGGGAACGCTTCTGATCGATACCATAGTTGGCCGCCGTCATCGCCGCTTGCAGGGTTGCATCGGGCAGCAGATGTTGTTGCTGGGCAGCCTGCGCCTGTTGTTGCTGCTGCTGCTGGTGCTGCGCCTGTGGTGGCACCGATCCTGGACCATTCTGTACCTTGTTGGGTTCAAAGCAAGCGGCATTCGGGTTAAAGCGGGAGAAGGGCACTCCACCGCCTTGCTGTTGCTGCTGTCCCTGGTAGCCGCCACCTCCCTGGCCACGGTAACCTCCCTGTCCGCCCTGATTCGGTGGCGATGTGCGAGGCTTTTGTTCGAATCGTGGCGGTCCACCAGCTCCACCGCCATTGAAAGCACTGCGATTCATGTTGCCACCGGGACCGTTGTTGTTGCGGTAGTTGTTGCCGCCGTTGTAGCCACCACCCATCTGTTGGTTGCGACCCTGATAGCCGTTGCCGCCACGGTAGCCACCCATGCCGCCACCGCGCTTGTTATAACCCCCGCTCATGGCCATGTTCATCAGTTTGGGGTTGATGGTCTGGAAAGGGGAGGAAGACAAGTCTAAGTATATAAGTTCAAGGATAATTAAATGGATAACTAACCTGGTTGGCCTCGCGCAGAACCTGGATCAGGTCATTGGCCTTATTGGCGTTGGAGTGAGTGAACAAAGTGTAGGCTGTGCCGGTGTTATTGGATCGTCCGGTACGTCCAATGCGATGCACGTAGTCCTCAGAGTTCGAAGGATAATCATAGTTGATCACAAACTTGACATCGTCAACGTCTGTTTGATTTCAAATATATTTTTCATTTCGAATTTGAAAATTGAAGAAGTGTGAAAAGAAGCGTTAAAAATATCGAATCGAACCAATATTTCGAAAATAGGAATCTTTCTCAATACTCAGGAACTATTTTAACAAAAACAAAAAACTTATTTGTGTGTGTAGGTGTGTAGAGTGTGTGTCCGTTTCTGTCTCAGTGTGTGTGTGTGTGTCGGTGTTACAATGTAGTATTTAGTGGGTTAATTTAGTTAATAGAACTTAAAATATATTTGATCGAATCGTTGAATGGATTTTGTCGGTGTAATTCAGTTTTTTAATTTATTTATAATTTTTTTTTTTTTTTTTTTTGTTGTATTTTTTGTACTTTGAACAAAAATTTCGCCATCAATACTATTAGCGTATATTAATAACTATACATCTTTGGCAATTAGATATATGTTTTTTCTATACTGCAGAAATGTGGACCTCGACCTTTTCTTCGTCTTATCATATCTTTTCTTTCTTTTTTTTTTTTAATACACAAATCGTAATATAAATGTTTAAGCTTAATGCATACAAGAGACGGCTTGATTAAAATTAATATTATAAATAGATAATATAAAATTAAATGAATGATTTAAGCTTATGATAGAGGGTGCTAGGAAAATCTTAAAGTTTGACTGGGTAAAGAGGTTAGATACGTTGATGGCAAGGATAAGGGATAAGAGGGGTGCGGACATATTGCTATGATTAGGAGAAAGTAAACTAGCCTAGTACTTACCCTGACGATTTAGGGTTAGAAATGGTTTAGTGTTAAGGCTTACGCGGTAGATTCCCTGGAGATCCTGTCCTCGCTATTGGGTCACATGATGGTCGAGATCCCATAGATCTCAGCAATGCTAGAAACTTAAACTCAACCCTCAACTTGTATTTATAGCTTTTATCTTTTTTAACTGCTTTGTGTATATAACTTTTAAACTTTTAACGTTTCTTATTTCTTTCTACTTTTTTTTTGTTTTTAACTTGTTTTGCCATTTTGAAAAATCGAAGTCCATTTCATAAAGTGCTGATGATATTTTTGTTCACACACAAATTTAGGTTTTATACATAGAGTAAGGAGCGACGTAATATAGTATATAGAATACTTTATGATACATAAATAAGCTACAGAAAATTATCATCAGTCAAAAAATTCTTGGGCCGCAAAATGTTTCAATTACTCAAAACATTAGTTACATCATATTATACTACAAACTAAAAAAAAAATATAAAAAATATAGATATACATATATATATTGTTTTACGGCACAGTATTTAATCGTTTTGCCTTGGTTTAAGGGGTTATTTTTTTAAAGTGCACTGAGATTATTTACTTTCGTTTTTTCTTTTTTTTAGATTATTTTGCTGGGCCATTGACTCCTTGACTGACAGTAAGTTGCTTTAATACGATAAGGTTACGCAAAATGTGATTGACGAGACACAACTAAAAACTATGAGCAAGAGAGAGCAACAAACAAACTAAAAGTTAACAACATCATATAACCAGCAATGCATGGAGAACAAACACATTCCCCTCATTATTTGAGACCACACCATTTCTTCGTATTCGGAGTATCATTCAGCAGAAACTAAAGGGATCGAGGGGGAAGCTAAACGGTCCACCAGGAATCGAACCACTCGAATATCATTAAACATAAGCCCATAAAAGTCAGGAAAAATAATAATAATAGAATTTCTTTGGCTTAGGGTTTTAGTTTCGAACATGCAAAGTAATTAACAATCGGTCCTTGTCCGGTTTTCACTTTTACTAACTTACAATGTTTCGATAGCTATTAACCAGTGAAAAGCTCTAAACATATCGCTTGGCTGCCCTCCTTTAAAGATCTTAAAAACTCAACAAAACATTCCTGGAATCAAAAAAATTTCCAAATATTTCCGCAAAACAAATGCAGTTGGGCGAAATGTACTTGTAGAGCTTTTTTACAAAACATTTTTAGTTTAAGCTTTAATCTAAATCATTAAGTTAATAAAATAAAAACAAAAAATGCCGAAGAACGATTCCTTTTATGAAACCCCCAGAATCATTCCACTACCAGAGAAAAGTTCGATTTACTTTTTAAATCAAATCGAAAATGTCATGTGAAATCCGGAACTGACCCGAACCAAAAAAAACCTCCAAAGTTCTGGAAATAGAGCGGAAGAATGGTCGAAGAGGCTGGGCGGTGTTGGCCGATTCATCGCTGACGGATCGCTGAGACCAGACGAACCAGGAAGGCGTCGACGACGAATCACAAAATAATGAATTAAACCCCACGGGATGCTGATTGATCCACAGGCAACAATTGCTTGGTTACGGAGAGAAAAAACAGAAGTTGGCCTCCTTTGGAGGCCCACAAAGGCTACGTTTACTCACCGAGTCCGCGAGCAGCCACATCGGTGGCCACCAGAATAGAGTGCCGGCCATTGCGGAAGCTCGAGAGCACAAAGTCGCGCTCCTGCTGTGACTTATCACCATGGATGGCGCATGCACGCCAACCCTGACGGGAGATATTGCGCGTAATCTCGTCCACACGCTTCTTGGTCTCCACAAAGATGATCGTCTTGGTCTCGTTCTCCGCTGAGATGTCTGTCAACAGTTTGATCAGCTTCATCAACTTCTCGTTCTCATCGCATACGTCCACGATCTGCAGGATATTGTGGTTGGCGCTCAGCGACAGCGATCCAATGTTAACCTGAATATAGTTATTAAGGAACTCTTCGGCCAGCTGGCGAACCTCTTTGGGCCAGGTGGCGGACCACATCAGAACCTGACGGTCTGGGCGGATCTGTTGCATGATCTTCCTAATCTGAGGTTCGAAGCCCATGTCCAGCATACGATCGGCCTCGTCCAGCACCAGATAGGTGCATCTCTTTAGCGAGGTGGTGCCACGCTCGAGGAAATCAATAAGACGGCCAGGTGTAGCGATCACAATCTCCACGCCGCGCTCCAGATCTCTGGCCTGCTGTCCCTTGGGCGCTCCACCAAAGATGCATGTGTTGCGCACATGGGTATTACTACCAAACTCAATGGCCACCTGCTGAATCTGCTGGGCCAGCTCCCTAGTGGGAGCCAGCACCAGGGCGATGGGTCCATCACCGCGCTCCAGGCGCGGCTGGTTGTTAATGTGCACCACCGCTGGCAGGACATAGGCCAGGGTCTTACCCGATCCGGTCTGGGCTACGCCCACCAGATCACGTCCACTCAAGGCGATGGGCCAACCCTGTGCCTGAATGGCCGTTGGCTTGGCAAATCCCTGCTTGCGGATCTCATTCATCACATAATCGGGGAAGCCACCCTCCTCGAATTCAATACTGGGTGTTGGTACCTGATCGCCCTTGATGGTGATCTCATTGCTGGTGAGGAATGTCTCTGTTTCTCCAGGAGTCCGAGCCAGCACCGACTCACAGGGCTTGTAAAAGTTCTTACGGAAGGGAGTGAGATTTACCTCGGACCACACGATCTTGGGCAAATGGGCGCCGTGATTGGAAGAGCGTTGTCCACCGTTCTGACCACCGAAACCATCTTGGTTGCGGGGACCTCCTGGTCCCATGCCAGGAACACCTCCGCCATTGATACGACGCTGTCCACCATTAGAGGGTCCGTGTCCATTGAAGCCGGGATAGGGGGCAGAGCGATTGCGCTGGAACATGCCAGCTCCACCGGGCCCACCGCCTGGAGCACCTCCTCCCATGCGATTTGGCACCATGCCGCCGGCTAGGCCACCACCACCTCCACCGCCGCCGCCGTAGGCGTTAACCTGTCCATTGTACCTAAAACGAGCGTTTTGCGCCATGTAATTAGAATTTTGAGCCTTTTGATGCGAATCCAAAATGTTTAAATTTACACAAAACGATCTTTTTTATGTAATTTTCATTTTTTACTGCCATTTTGAATTTATTGATTTTCGACACTTGGCCCCAGGCCGCATGGCCACTAGGATTTTGTTTAAAAAAAAGGGACTTTTCATTGGAAAAGTGTTTCTGGACTTACATGTTCATTGCTGATGTGCTGCAAGTGGTTGAATATCTATCCAAATTATAGTCTTTCGGGCACTTTTAACAATTTTTCACTCCACAATTTTTTTTCAATACGTCTATTTTCTACGTCATATACATATATCGATACTCGATAGAAGAACATCGACTCTTTAACAAGTATTGAAAATATAACTATCGTCGGTGGTCCATCCATACTATATGAAACATATGTTTCTCGATAGTCACTTGTTAACTTCAGCACAACGCCAAATAAAAATTATGAAAAGAAGATTTGTATTTTTATATTTATATAAAAAGACTAGAGTATATTAAAGAAACTAAGAGTGTCATTTATATTAGGCCGCGATATTTGTTTAATCCTATCGAAAATACCTGTCAATAAGATTAGTGTTGGATAATGGCTGTCTTGGCTATTGACGGTCACACCATGACACACAGTGATCTCTCAAAATCATAAAATATTAAATAAGTGGAATAGTTGAAAATAATACATCAATGTCTTATTATTTGCTTTGGAGTATAAAGTTTAAAAAGATATTTCTTTCATAAATGTTAAACCAATTTTTTCATAAATTTTGCACACAATTACAACACCGGATAAGGCAGAGTGGCTCACTTAATCGACTGCTTACTGTACTTCATAAAGTAAACAAACATGGCTCAAACAAGGGAATAATAAAATTTATTTGAACCGCAAGAAATTTTTAGACAAAATGCGCACCAGCTACAAGAAGAATAGACCCTTCGATTTCAAGCTGATAGATCTGGTGGAACCGAATCCAGTGCTTTACAAGAGATCTGGACTCTCGAATTACGATGCCATGAAGGCAAAAACTGATATTTGGGCAAGGATAGCTGAGATGATGGGCTGTGATGGTATGTCAATTCTAAAATCCATTAGTTTTATAAATTTAAAGTAACACAATCCACAGTGGACTTCTGCTTGATGCGTTGGAACAACCTCCACTACCAATTTCGAAAGGAGTTTCGCCGAGCGGATACCAGTGGTTCCACTTGGCCATACTTGGAACGTCTTCGATTTCTGGCCGATAATCAACCGCCATCCAGGACGAAGAGCAAGGCGAAGGCAAAGGATTCTCCTGGAAAACCGGATGACACGAGTAAAGAAGAAACTCCCGTGCAGTTCCTTTGGGAGACCTACGAAGATGGTGAAGATCCGCAACAATCCAGTACCTTCATAATAGAGGAGGTTATCGAGGAGCCCAGCGAGCAGATAATTCAAGAGGAAATAATCTACGAAGACCAGGAATCAGCGGAGATACTCTCACCTAGAACTAGCTTCCTCCAGATGGACAAGGTCCTTGCCGAGCTCAAGGAACCCCACCGAAAACGAGCGGAGCGAAGAATCACAGCCTTTCTGCTCAAGTGCCAACTTCGTGCCTTGAGTAATCAGTCCGTGGAAGACCTTAAAATATAACTTATACTTCACATACTCTCAACTTTATTAAAAAACAAAAGAAACTAAAATTAAACCTTGCACTTGTCCAGATCCACCCAGGCCACCTTGGGTTTAATGATGAACTGATCGCGCGGTAAACTGTCCAGCATGGCGGCCTGTTGGCGTACGTACTTGACCAGTCTCTCGATCTGCACATAATCATCGCAGTTCATTTCAAAAAACCGACGCCACAAGGAGCAGGCCAACACCCGATCGTCAGACATAATGCCTTCGTCGTAGGCGATGAGAGCTGCTTGGAACTGCTCGGATAATGTCTCGATCTGCTGACGGGTGCGTGAAGGGTTGTGGGCCTGGTGGGAATCAAGGAGACACCATTAGAATTAAGAAAACAATACTAACATTAAGCTAAAAACGTACTCCCAACTTTTTGGCGCGTGTATTGACATCTCCCCACATTGCCTCCACGATGCAGTTGCGCAGGAAGCGTCCATCTTCGCCCGTTTCTGATCCTTCGGCCATTGAGCGCATCAGCAGGAGCCAAACGTGGAGTTCCGTAACCAAAAACCAGGAATTAAATGTATTTGGCAGATTGAAATCGCGGAAGAAAGCCACATAGTTGATCTTATCGGCCACACTTTCGTAAAGGAGATGACTGGTTACCTTAAGGCGCTGAAATGGAATACTTTTGATAAATATAAATGACATTGGGATACTAATTATTCACCTACCGCTTTTGTATTTGGTGTAAAGCCCACTTTATTAAGCACTCTCTTTAGAATTCCTTCTTCTGTGGGTGTACCTGTGCCAGGTTTTGTTTTATTAGGACTATCAACAACACCGGTAGAAGAACACAAGCGGCAGGACTGCTCAAATACTCCCAGTATTGCTGGAGTCTGTTTACTTGGCTGTTGGGTTACCTAAAATATAATAAATTTAAAAAGATACACCCGTTTATATAAGAGTTGCAGGCGGTGCATTCTAACGCCTGTTTTATGAGTAAATGCTGTGTTTCTATTGTTTTAACCATACCCGTGCGGTTCTGACCATGCCGCTGGCCAGTCTTGCAACTGCACGAGTGCACTGCATTTTTAATAGGTTTCTAAATTTACTAAAACAAAATCTTAAAAAAACCAATTGCACGCGACAACAGTCCAAAAACAGCTGATTCTAACAGGGCTGCCAACTTTCCGTTAAATTGATGTGAACAGAGCTCTGCTTACATTTGAGTAACATTTTAGTAAAAAGTTAAAAATTAGGTTAAGCTGTTATTATTTTTTAGTGAACATTAGAAAATTTTACTTCGTATATTTGTCCCACCTAAGTTTACTTAAGTTTTAATTCATAAAATCGAGAAAAGCGGCGTATCCTAACATAGTATGACCGCATGTAATGCTTTACGTTCATAACAGCATTACACGGTCCTACATCCAACTTCCAATTGGAAATGTAAATAAATAAACATATAGAACAAAATTAGGATAAAATAATAATAAACATGCTGCGTTTGGGATCTCAAATGTGCCGGAAAGTTGCCTTCAACATGCAGACAGTATCCCGAATACCAGGCAGCAGGAATACACAAAAACTGGTGACTAGAAAGATGACACAACAGCGATCGCCGGTGGACTGGACAACAAGTATTCCCAATAAGGCGGCAAAGGACAAGGAAAAGATTGCTCCTTTGGGATGGTTCCTCCTGGTGGGTTAAAATGTGTTCCTTAATATATATATATAAATACTCAATATCCCTCTCCCTCAGCTTATTCCCGCCACTACTTTTGGCTTGGGCTGCTGGCAAGTGAAGCGCAAGATATGGAAGGAGCAGTTGATCAAGGATCTTAATAAGCAACTAAGCACGGCTCCTGTGGCTTTACCAGAAGAGTAGGTTTCATAACCACTTCTTATATATGTTTATTCCCTTGCTAAAGTTAGCATTTCCTGCAGTCTCAGTGACTTAACCCAAATGGAGTACCGTCTGGTCAAAATCCGCGGACGTTTCCTTCATGAAAAAGAGATGAGAATGGGTCCAAGATCACTCATACGACCCGATGGTGTAGAGACTCAAGGAGGACTCTTCTCACAGAGGGATTCAGGCAATGGTTACCTAATAGTGACCCCTTTTCAGCTGGCGGATAGAGAGTAAGTTTTTCTAAGGGTAATCCATTATAATCCTAACCAAAATTTCCACAGCGACATAGTCCTTGTGAATCGAGGGTGGGTATCCCGCAAACAAGTGGAGCCGGAAACGCGTTCTTTGGGTCAACAGCAAGCAGAGGTCGAACTTACAGCTGTGGTGCGCAAGGGAGAAGCCCGTCCTCAGTTCACACCTGACCACAAAGGCAATATCTACCTTTATCGCGATCTGCCACGGATGTGTGCCTCTACAGGAGCTGCTCCCGTATTTCTAGATGCGGTCTATGATCCCCATGCAGCTAATAATGGTCCAATTGGTGGCCAGACCCGAGTTACCCTTCGAAATGACCATCTGTCGTATCTTGTGACCTGGTTTAGCTTATCGGCGGCCACATCCTTCCTTTGGTACCGTCAAATAGTCAAGAGGATTCCCTTCTAAAGGGCCCCAAAAATCAAACAAACTGTTGTTATTTTTATAAAATTTACATGTTCTCGTGTAAATGCTGATTTTTATTGACCCACAGCAGGAGAGGATTGACCTGCCAGGGCTTATATTGCAACTGCCGAACCTCGAGGGGCGGATCGACACGGGAATAGGAATATGAATACAAATACGGTTTGGGGTTTCCCCTTCGGGTGTGCCTAGCTCAATACTTTAACTATTTAAAAACACTCACGTTAGGCTGGGTCGATATTGGGAAAACTTTAAAATTGTTGGATGAATCTGTAGAAAATTCGATATTAAATTATAAAGTTTTGCTTTTCTAATTATATACAGAAAAAAATAGTTACTAAATACTTTTTACTTTCATTTGAAATTCATATAAAGAAATACATTATTTCAATTTCTATTCTCCTTACTTCATGGAATATGACCAAGTCAATTGATAATTTTTTTCTGACAAACCTTTTTTTATACTTTAACTTAAGCAAGGTCAAACTGATAGTATAACTATAAGGTCCAAGATTTCATCTCAGAATCATCCATAGATAACTTTCCAACCTAACGTATCTTCGTCCATTGAATCGACCCACTCTAACACACTCAGATACAGAACAAGATACGCATATTTACAATTTAGTCTCGCAAATACTGGAAATTTCGCCAACTTTAAGTGTAAATGCCATCACATCCGTCGCCCGACGCGCCTAAAGCTGCGGCACAATGCCCCAGGATCGGAGCAGACCAGTGCGCTGGTACTTCTTGCCGATGGTCTGCACATGGAAACCAATCTGCTGCAAACGTTCATGATCGAGGATCTTGCGGCCATCGAAGATGTAAGCCGGTTTCATCATTGATTGGTATATGCGCTTAAAGTCCAGGTCCACAAACTCATCCCACTCCGTGCAGATGACCAAGGCATGGGTGGCTCGAACGGCACTGTAGGGGTCACTGTGGATCTGCACGGCCTTCTTTACCTTCTCCGGGGACTCTGTGACACTAGGATGCGTGAGGTCGTCAATGATCTGTTCGGGTTCTACTTTTGGATCGTAGATGTCTAGGGCGGCACCTTCCTCCAGTAGTGTTTGGCATACAGTTATGGCGGCAGTCTCACGGGTATCACCCGTGTTCTTCTTGAAGGCAAAGCCCAAGATGGCTATCCTCTTGTCCGACACTGTATTAAAAAGACTCTCGATGATCTTCTGGGAGAATCGTCGCTTCTGATACTCGTTCATATCGATCACCTGCTGCCAGTACGCAGCAACCTCTGGCAGGTTGAGGTTTTCGCATATGTAGATCAGGTTTAGGATGTCCTTCTGGAAGCAACTGCCACCGAAGCCCACGGACGCCTGCAGGAACTTGGAACCGATGCGGGAATCCAGACCCACGGCCCTCGCCACCTCGGAGACATCTGCTCCAGTGGCTTCGCACACCGCCGACAGTGAATTAATGCTGGAGATCCGCTGGGCCAAGAAAGCATTTGCAGCCAATTTGGACAACTCACTGCTCCACGTATTGGTTGTAAGTATATTCTGCTTGGGTATCCAGTGCTCATAGATCCACGACAGCTTCTCCACCGCCTGATGGCCCTCGGGTGTCTCTTCGCCACCAATAAGCACGCGATCAGCGTTCAGCAGGTCATTAATGGCAGTGCCCTCAGCCAGAAACTCTGGGTTGGACAGGATGTCGTAGTGAATACCAGGCTTCTGATTAGCACGGAGTATGTGCATTATGCTTTCCGCCGCCCGCACTGGCACTGTACTCTTCTCCACCACAATCTTGTTGGACTGGGCGATCTCTGCAATCATTCGGGCTGCACTTTCCACGTACTTCAGGTCCGCCGCTCGACCTGATGATAGGAAATGGGGAATTTAATATTTGATCATAAAAGCGATGACTGAATAAGTTAAAATCAATAAATTTTTAATTACTGGAGCTTTTTAATTTTCCTTAACCTTGCAGTTTGCCGAGTTTTATATATTAATAACATTACTAATTAATATGATTTTTATGATAATCATTATCAATCGATTTCTGATTAATTCCCACTTCTAATATTTTTCGTAGAATTTAAAATGACTCTTATATTATTTTTAGCTTTATTTAGGTCTGATCTTTGCTAAAAATAAGTGCATTTAATGCATTAATGACAACTTTAACTACGTTTTTATAGACTTTTATTAGTTAGCAAGGTCGTAGTTAGTTAGTACCACACCTAACAGTTTTTTCTATTGTCCATTTTGTGTAAACAAATGGTCAATAAGTATTACCTACAACTATACTCCAACTCCACTAACATTAGTTAATATTTGCTTAGTTAGTACTCACCCTTGCCATTGCCGCAGGTTTTTGTGGGCGTGTTAACCGAGATGAAGATGAGATCCGCCTCCTTGATGGCCGTCTCAATGTCCGTGGAGAAGAATAGATTCACATTGCGGCACTTCTTCACCACCTCGTCCAAACCAGGCTAAAATAAAGAACAGACATGGCTTATTAACAAATTTTTCAAATTATTCTCCTTTTTGTTGGCCTAGTTTTTTTTTTTTTATTATTATTATATTTGTAATGCCAATCACGACCCACTCCCAAAGCTGAGCAGTTGGTGACGTTCCTATATTATCAGCCGATAAGATTATACCCCTTCTGGAAATATATATACGTGGATCTTATCCGAACCATTTTCCTATGAAAGCTATCTACCAATTAGCCACGCTATGGTTCTGTTTACGTGCTAAAGTAACACTTTAAGTGGTCCACTTTTAAACGTTTAGTGATTAATTTAAAAAATATAGGATAGGGTTCTCCCATGACTACCCACGCTTATGCAATATTCACACGAATTCTTAATTCCCCCTTCTCATTCAACGATTGCCAGACTTATTTCCGTTTCTGATATGATTTGAATGTTCATTGAACTCGTTTTGGGAACACAGTCAAAATTTGCATACGTATTTTTATGGATTTCTCGGAGGCAGGTGTTAATATCTGTCTTTTTGGGATTTCTTTTGAAAGATAAAAGAGTTCGCTATAAAACAAATGCTCATCTATCTGTGAGTCTGATTAATCGACAGAGACAAGATAAAAGCAGAGAGAAAGATGTTATTTAAGGGCAGTTTCTAAAAATATATGACCAGTTCTGCTGTCGTTGATATGACTGATAAGTTTTTGCGATGTTTTGAAAAATGAATGAAACGTTAATGAGTACACCAAGTAGGAAATGTTGGAAACAAACGCATGGCAAAAAAAAAGTGTCAATTGCCAATTGTGCAAATACTAAACAAGAGGATGTTGTTTACAAGGCCGACATGATATTTTCACCAATTGCATTTCAAAACTCCAAGTCATGACCACGCTCTTTGCTGGTGGTGATGCAATCTTGCTAAGTGAACATCAATAATAAGAATGGAATGCCTTGCTAGACAGCTTCTGTCGGTACAACCGCACTCAGTGTCTTGTTCTTCTATCTGTGCATAATATAAATATCTATTACAGTTCACCTTCTTTAAGTGCAACTTATCTTAATAGTTTCACTTTTGACAGTTTGTAGGTAAAGAAATTAGTTTTCTAGACAATTATGATCTTTGGTAAAGTCAAAGAAGTTTGTTTCTTTACAGTAAATCTAGTAATTTATGAAGTATACAATGCAAAAAGCAGATAAACTTGAGCTAAAAATATACAAAACAATCTTCTAATGGTAAAAAGAAAAAGAAGAACTGATGATAAAAAAAAAATACTATGAAGGAAAACCGCTAATGGGCATTACCGATAGTAAAAACTCAATAAATCCAACAAAGCAAAGCCAAAATTCGGCCAGATAGTGGTAGGTTCGAGTCATGAATGTTAGACTGTGTTTGGGTAATAGTATATATATATATTTTTGCGTTATTTCCCCAGAGATACTGAGTGTTTGCCGAGAACGTGGGTAATTGGACAATTTCCAAGTAATGTGCTCCCGCTTAACCCAAAAAGCACCCTGCCCAGTGAGCTTATCTCCGCCAGAGACTTTGTTTTGGCGCAGACCCGATAAGAAGTGCTGGGAGCTGGCTATATGGTAAAGAGCATATAGAATGGGGGCAGACGGAAGTTGGGACGGAAATGCGACAGTAACAAAATGGAAAAATAAAAAGAGAAATACATTGTATGTGACGTGCTAAATTCTGCCGGCAATCCGCTTGCACCTTATGGCTTCGTGGCGGATTTTCTATAGTATTTAGAATCGAGGACTGGTCGGCATTATGGTCACGCAGTCTGGAAAGTAAAATCGATTCCCACGCTTGTTTTCTGTCTCGAATCATATTTCAGCAATCATTCGGCTATACGGGCTTTTTATCGTTTGTTTTTAAATGACTAATGGCCGTAACACGAGGACTGACCATTGACCTTGTTTTGGGCCAAGTGCGTTAAGCACCTGAGAGTCTAGTAAAATGCCAAACACGCACTGATGTTCAAGTAAAGACTATACAGAGAGAGAAATTGGAAGCCCATAAGTGGCAGTTGCAAAAAATGAATCTTATATGTAAAAAGCAAATTGTAAAAGGATAAAGGTAAGCAAGGCATCCTTTAGTAACATAAAAGGATCCTAAGAAATGTCTATACCAAGAGGAAGGATAAATTTTAGTTGATTTTAAAGTTCCAAATAAAATAAAAATTCCTTCGAGCGAATATATCCGACAACCTACTTATATTTTTAGATGTAAATCTATCCCTAGATATTTTCTTTCTACAAAAATCACTGACTAGATCTAACATTTTCTGTGTGCATGGGAACTGGTTTATTTTCAAGAAGAATGGGCGGGGGTATGGGGTTTCACCGACTTGGGCATGAGCGGTCATCGACGTTTTGAGTTCTTCTCGATGGATCTCGAGATTGATTGATGTTTTGTTTGTTTAGGATTAGTGGAAACCCAAAAAATAAGAGAATTGCAAGGCCAAGGCGTGAGCACACACACTACTGCAATACCTATCGTTCTCTCTCCCTTTTACACAAGCACACACAAACCCATACTAATGGAAGCACTTCCTATGTACATACAAACGTGAGTAGAAATAATAATACAACAAAAAACAACGAACCTCGTAAATGGGTAATTTATCCGAATTCCACTGGGCAATCCGCTCGGAGCTCTTGTCCACTAGGGTTATCACGATATCGGGGCATTTGAGCGCCATAACCGCGCAAGTGGGACCACCGACATATCCAGCGCCAATGCAGCAGACCTTCATAATTGCACCGCTTTTCGTTGTTTCTGTTTTGTTTTGCTGTTACTATTCGGCTTTGCTTTTCCTTCCCGTTCTCTTCTCTTCCCGATTTCCGATTTTCCCTTTTTTTTCTCTGTCCGGCGAGTGTCGCGTGCTTTTCAATCGAGCGGTCGGAGGAATCTGACTTTACGCGGCGGCGGAACAACAATAACTACTACCAGTGCCACTAATACAACACCACCCACCCGAATGCTCTTAAGTTTACGAACAAAAACAACAACAAGGGCCAGCCAATAGTAATGTCGTGTGACCGTTGAGGGACTTGTGCCGATATACCATTTCCAAAAGCGGTCACATTTTTGCAACTGTCGGTTTGAATTTAAAAATTATTTTTTAATGATTTTAGAAAAATTTTTAAGAAAAACTTAAATTAAGCTGACGACTAAAGAAAAGTTGCATTTATTTCATAAAATATAGTAAACGCAAACGAATAAACCTCAGCACTTCCTCACATCCGGAACGATTCCGCACTCGGCATATGGATCACCGACCTTGGCTTCCTTTTTGGCGCAAGGTGGACACTCCACGCAACATAGGTCGTCTTTAGGAGTGGCCTTCAGCAGCCCATCTATGTTTTCGCCCTTCGGAGTCTTCAGATTTGTGCCAGAATTCACTCTGGACGGTACTTCGTTCATCTTAGACTTGGACGTAGTCTTGGGCAACGAGTATTTTGTAGCATCCGGTGGATTGGGTCTGCCCCAGAAGTCCCTCGGCACATCCCAGATAATCAGCGATCCGTCTGTGCTTCCAGTGACAAACATGGTCATGCAAGGACTATAGGCACAACTGATTACCGAGGAGGCGTGTTCGGAACCCAAGCCCACCACTGCACCACTGTTGTAATCCCAGAGCTTAACCTGGAGATCACTGCCCACGCTGATAAAGTAGTCCCCAGTTTCATTCATGGCCAAGCAGTTAACAGAGGACTTCTTGGAGGCAGTCAGTTCCCTGATCAAGGCTCCATTGTACACCATCCAGTAGATGATTCTGCCGTCCGATCCACAGGTAATTACTTGAACTCCAGTTGGAAAGTAGGAAGCGGACATAAATTGAGTGTTGGCAGTAACCACTTGCTTACGGGTCATGCGTCTGTCGGGGATTGAAAACAATATATTAAAACCTTATACAGATTTTTCCTCACTCAACTCACTTTATATCCCAGATCACACAAGAGCCATCAGTGCATGCCGAGATCACTTCAGTGTCTAGATAATTCATATCCAGCGAGGTTATGGGTCCAGAGTGATCCTTCAGGACACCCACAAGATCTTGACGATAGGGATCTATCTTCCACACTCTCACTTGTCCCTCGATACCACCCGTGACGATTAGGCGACCCGTGGAAGCTACAGCCAAAGCACTGCAACCTGCATTTAGGTATTAAGTTTAGAATAATAATATTATAACGAAATTCAATATGTTTACCCTTGTTGTGTGCATTGGGTATGGCATAGATGAGTCTTCCGGTGATGGGAGTAAAGGCCCGAATGATTCCATCATTCCATACAGAGACAATACTGGTGCCATCATGGGTAAAGCGAACGCAAGCGCAGTTAAAGTTGTAGACCATGATGCGAAGCAGCTCCTGTTTGCGTCCAGATGACCAGATGCGGATGCACTCCCTGCCGGAAGTCGCAAAAACGCCAGAATAGTTTCTGAAATATTTAAAATTCAATTAGGAATATATATTAAAGCTATATAGTGTAACTCACTTGGGAAACGTGATGCAGTAAACCGACTTTGTGTGGCATGTTCGCAACAACTTAAGCACCCAAGTCTTAATATTAAGTCCATAAATCTCATTAGTATCCGTGCAGATGTAAAACATTTCCGGCTTGGAGCGGACGAAAGACGAAATCCTCCCCGAAACATGAGTCTTCTTCAACGTGCGTAGATATGGCCATGTAGGACCCGGATAATCCCGGAAGTTAATAAGCGGCACATCAGTTCGTTCCTCCACCAGCTCGATATCACCATTTCCAGCTCCAATGAGCAGACGTCCTCCTTCCAAAACATATAAAGCACGAACACCATTTACATAGCGATCGCAGTCTCTGCCAGTTGGCTTTCGGGGATTGTGGGTGCCAAAGGCTCCCAGTATACAACTGGTTGATCCTGGCTTGCTCACATGATCTCGATCGCAACAGTTAAGAACGATCTTTACAATATCGCCAGTTCCAGTGCCCAAATAGGCAAACTCATCACTCTTATCGATGCGGGCACAGTAGAAAACCCGTGTCTTGCTGGCCATTAAGACATCCTGAACGTAAAGTTTCTTCTCTTCGCGCAGTATACTCCAAAGGCGCAGATGGCGATCTCCGGCAGTTACGAAAAAGTACGGATTGTTGTGCATCGGTCGGACTGTCAGGGCATTTCCCGATATAGCCCTCGAGGCGGGTGTTTGGCAGATGGGAGAGCTAGAATGGGAAAAACATTCGTTAGAATTCAGGTAGAATTTATGATATGGTCACTCACAATGCTTCCATATCGAAAACGATGACGGATCCATCATCTACTCCCCCAATAGACACCACGCAGCGATCCTGGGCAGTAAAGCATATGGCCTGGACTGATACCTTGTGAAGATCATGACGAGAGATCTCCTTGCGCTGATCGTAATCCCAGATTATCACATATCCACGGAATCCCATATGGTTTATCTGGCCCGAGGCCATGTACTTCCCGCTCTTGCTTAGATCCAGACATGATATAGTATTTGTATGTCCGGCCACAAACTCCTGGGTGTTCTTCTTATAATCGGCAATACCTATTTTGTTGCCAAGTGGAAAGATAATGGATCCGGTGATCGGATGTTGGCGCACTCCATTCTCTACCTTTCCGTTGATCCCGAAGATCGCGCGGGGAAGAAGTTGCCTGCAGGCGTCTTGGGAATCACCCATTTTTAGAGGATTATAGCAAAATATACGATTCGAAATTTAACATATGAGGGGGGTTTTGTCTGTTCTGTGCCAGGTGCTTTGAAGGTTTCAAGCCGGCTTGTTTTTTGTTTGAAAACAACGCATTTGAAATTTTCAAACAGCGACCGTTGCTTGGTTTCCGTTGCTACTGAAGGAGCACCTTGTATGGTAATTTAGATCTGGCCATTAAATAAAAATTAGTTTAATTATTTTTTTAATATATAATAATTTTAATTTCATGATAGTTTTAATTTAAAATGTATTAAACAACAGATGTGGCAAAAGCCAATAAGTTTTAAAAGTGTAGACATTTTAAATTTGCAATTTAAATCTATTTTAAAATGAGCAGAAAATTATAACTTATTTTGTATTATTTGTGTCTTTTTCGGACGTTATTAGATGACCGGGAACTTTGGCGCAATACTGTTTTAGCTTGCTCACATTGAGGGAGGCGCAACTCCTTTGGACACGAGCGTGCATTTCAACCTCTTTCTGGATGAGATCCTCCATGGCAGTGTATTTCTCCTCCTCAATTTTTAGATGGGCCAGCATAGCCATGTTCTGAAAGGCAATTTTAAATTCGTAAAAAAATTTTATAATTTATTTAGGACTGTATAAGATATATCCAAAGTAAGATTTAAACTTATATTAGTAACCTCTAAATCATTAACCCCCTTGTTACCTCTCGATATCTACTCTTAAGCTCCTCTAGTTTGGCTGTCTTCTGCTCTTCCTCCTCGCTGGTGAATTGATTTTCGAAGAATACGTGTTCCGGATGCAGTACATGTGATGGAACGTGGAACACCTTGCTGTCCAGTTCTCTCAGGGCTTTCAAACCCTTGGACGCGGATGCATTAAAACGATTTTCAACGGTTTCTTTCTGGGCCTCCAATAAATCCGATGTTGCTGGGGTCTTTATTTTATCTATGATCTGTCCAATTCCTTTTTTAATGATGCCCTGCACAATATGCTCTCCTATAAGAAATATGGGTAAAGACGCCTTCCTTTTATATAGAGAGATAATACTCACGCTCCGCTGAAAGCTGTGTCGATGTGAAGTTAAAATACTTCTGATCGTAAGTACTGCTATCAAAATCCATGATAAGATATTGTGCCAATATTATTAAAAAAAACTAAATTATGTTTGTAAAAACACAAACAAAAAGTCGCGCAATTGAAATAAGTGTTACCGTTCTTTGACAATAAAAAGATACCACCACATCAAGAGTGCTGTCAAATGTATCTACTAAATAGAACAAATTAAATCTAAACTTAAATTCACCTAATTAAAAGGAATTTAAATATTTTGTGATAAAGCAAATCTGTTTTAATTCCAAAAATATATTTAATAGAAGTAATGCCAATGCGCAAACTCAATAAGTAAAAATGAATCCCCCTAATGTTTTTGTTTTGCATTAGCCGGCTTTGCTTTGCGAAAATAATGTAACGAGAACTGAATAATCAGGAGAGTGCGACGACACACATAACGGTGCCTATATAAATAGCTCACACCACTCTTCAGTCGCTATTTACAGTTGAACTGTGTTCGAGGTTTTCGATCTAATTTCTGGAATTTCTACTTGACCCAAGCAAACAAAGAAGACATGAGGGGCGTTCCGTGGCCTCTGGGATTGGGGCTTCTGCTCCTGGGAATTCTGATAGTTCCCATCGATGGCATAGGATTTCGACGCGGCAGACTGGATAATGGATTCCTTGGGGAGCCAAGCAAGATACCAACACTCCAGAGATTCCATTATTCCGAGGATCTTTGGTTCCAGCAGAAATTGGACCACTTTAAGGCAAGTGACAAGCGCACCTGGCAGCAACGATACTTTGTGAATGCCGACTACTACCGAAATGATAGCTCAGCACCAATATTCCTGATGATTGGTGGCGAGGGAGAAGCCTCGGCTAAGTGGATGAGGGAAGGAGCTTGGGTTCACTATGCCGAGCATTTTGGAGCCCTCTGCGTGCAGCTGGAGCACCGTTTCTACGGCAAGAGTCACCCAACGGAGGATCTATCCACCAAAAATCTTTATTATCTGACTTCTGAGCAGGCTCTGGAGGACTTAGCTACCTTTGTGACCGCCATGAAGGTTAAATTCAACCTGGCCGAAAGTCAGAAATGGATCGCTTTCGGCGGTTCTTATCCCGGATCGCTGGCTGCCTGGGCCAGGGAGAAGTATCCTGAGCTCATCTATGGATCCATCAGTTCCAGTGGTCCCCTATTGGCTGAAGTTGACTTTAAAGAGTACTTTGAGGTGGTCAAAGCTTCGCTAGCTGCCTACAAACCTGAATGTGTGGAAGCAGTGACCCGCAGCTTTGCCCAGGTGGAGATCCTCCTAAAGCACATGATCGGTCAACGCAGTCTGGATGAAAAGTTTAAGTAAGTTCCATAAGTTGTGTAAGGATAAATGTCATTAATTAATTTAAACTCGCTTTTTAGGACTTGCACTCCCATTAAGGATTCCATTGAAAACGACTTAGACATGGCCAACTTCTTGGAGAATCTAGCAGGCAACTTTGCAGGAGTGGTGCAGTACAATAAGGATAACAGTCCCCATGCAACCATAACCATTGACGACGTGGGTTTAACACTCCTTATGTACTTCTCTAGCACTACTAAGTATGTTATCTCCACAGATTTGCGATGTAATGCTGAACACCACCGCGGGTCCACCAGTAACCCGCTTGGGCCTGGTAAACGACATGCTTTTGAAGGAGTCAAACACCACCTGCCTGGACTACAAGTACGATAAGATGGTAGCCGATATGAAGAACGTTTCCTGGGATTCAGAGACGGCCAAGGGAATGAGACAATGGACCTACCAAACCTGTCATGAATTCGGTTTCTATCAGACCTCCAATAATCAGGCGGACACATTCGGGGGTCGCTTTGGAGTCGACTTCTTCATCCGTCAGTGCATGGATGTGTTCTCCAAAAACATGGACGCCAAGTTCTTGGATCTGGTAGTGTCCGGTACCAATGAAAATTATGGTGCTTTGAAGCCAAAAACCACAAATGTTCTGTTTATTCATGGTTCCATTGATCCATGGCATGCTCTGGGACTGGTGAAATCTTCAAACCCAGCACTTCCTACAATTTATATAGAAGGTATGTAGATGGATTTGTTTATCAATATGTTATTATATATACATTTATCTTTCTCTTTTAGGAACTGCTCACTGCGCCAATATGTATGAGCCGGTGAAAACCGATCCGCCCCAACTTGTGGCTGCTCGTAATCAAATACTCAAATTCTTGGCCAAACTTCTGGAAGGCTACACCTCAACTCTAATCTAAATACCAAATGGGGGAGAAATTCGCCAAGTCAAATGTAATTTTGGATTCGTCAGCGATTTGTTTTTATTTTGTTGCTTTCGCATAAGTTGTATAATAAAAATTTGTGGTTCGCTGGAAGTTAATCCTTCTTTGCCTGCTCCATTTTCTCGTGGAATCGCTTCCAGTAGTGCTGCACTGTGGGATTCTGGACGATATTGTGCTCGATAAAGTTGACCAGCCAGGTGGCAGTAAGATAGGACAAGTCATAAATGAATGCCACAACGCGAAAGAAGTATTTCTCAGTCTGCTGCCTGCTAGGCATATTAGCCATGATTTCCTGCACCTGTTTAGCAGCAGCCTCCTTGGCCTCCATCGCCCTCTTCTGGGCATCAGACTTCTTGTCGTCACCTGAGCATTTCTCTTCGGTGCCCTTGTTGCGAACGATGGCATTGGTGTCCAGGGATACGGTTCTGCCTATTTTACCACCAGAGGTGACGACGGAAACGGCTGGCGTCTGTACCTCTGAAGTTGCCACGCCCTTACGAGTGGTATTCTCTGGGTTACTTCCCAAGGGAGCCACGAACCCCGGCGGCACCTTTTTGGGCTTCTCATCGTCACCACCAGCAGAAAAACAACGCGCTGGGATTAAGTTCACAGCACGTGGGTTCAGGGAAATGACATTTGGCAGTTTGGAGTTATCTTCACGGTAAAAAAAAAACAAGTTGGTCTTAAGGTTCTAGAAAGATCTACTAACTTACCCCAGTTATTAACCAGTGATCCTACCACCGATCGATTCAATTTCACCAGTAATGAAGCGCGAATCATTTTCCTTCTTTGTGTTTTTCACAGCGAAAGCAGAGTTAAAAGTCTTTACTGAAGCAAAAGACAATTTAAGCAAACGAATTCCAAAATGCCTGAAAGGTTGAGGCAAAAAATGGAAAGGCCAACTCCGTCCTGACAGTCAGAGTGGCAACGCTTTCCGAATACTGTCCCTTTCCTTTAGGGGGAAATCTATATTTATAAGAAAATATATTCTTGAGTCATACTCTAAACTGTATATAGTTTTCAGGTATTTCAAATTCAAAGTGTTCAAAATGTTCACTTTTAAATATATATTTTTTAAAGTATTAAGGGGATCTCCCTTATTAAAACTTGTTGGCAGGTCTAAAAGTGATGATGGGCAGCATTGCCGGCATAGATTAACTATAACTCGTGTTTTTATAAATTGTCTTTTATTTAGGCTATTACTAAACATATTAGTATGTTAACTAGTTACATTTTAGGGCTTACAACTTCAGGCCTAGTTTCACCTTAAATAACGCTGTCAAGCTCTTGGCAAAAAATAAACGTACGGCAAATGTCGTGACCCAAAAGGGCACTCTCTGAACGATACCAACTCGAGATGTTCCCTTTTGGGTATCGCCATTTAGCCCGCGAAACTTAACTAAATCCGAAAGAAAGCCGATCGGGTTGAGGGGGGATAGGATATACAAAACCCACCGGCTGTCCTTTGGCGAACTTTACATTTTGTTAGGCTAATTTTTAAATTAGTTAACTTACAGGTGCAATTTAATGGACACGGTTAACTAAATTGCAATTGGTTATTTGTTCCGCGACTACTGGCAACCAAATCGGTTATTAAAATTACTTGTGTGTGTGTGTGTGTGTGTCAAAAGCATGTAACGCATTTAAAACATATATGGGGAGCATACGATTACGTATATGCGTAGCGTAAATGTATCGAATTCTTAGCTTTTAATGGAAATGTTGATGCGCGTTTTCCTTTAATACTACGACGCAAGCTAAATAATGATGATCTTGTGATCCTCCGCCCCTTCCCTAGAATAACCCAATTTGTTTCAGATTGTTCTTGATGATCACATCGGTGACAGCATCAAAAACGAACTTCACGTTGTTCGTATCCGTGGCGCAGGTGAGATGCGTGTAGATCTCCTTTTGGTCTTTTCGCTTGTTGAGATTTTCAAACTTCATGCGTATGTAGTTGGCCGCCTCCTCAAAGGTATTGGTTCCTAAAAATGATCAGGAATTTGTTAATAAATGTTGTAAATTTAAAATTAATAAGTTTCTTCCTTTACCTGTGTATTCTGGGAAGCATATCGTCAGGGGAGATCGCTTGATCTTCTCCTCGAACAGGTCCTTTTTGTTGAGGAAAAGTATGATGGAGGTTTCCACAAACCACTTGGAGTTGCAGATGGAGTCAAACAGCTTCAGGGATTCGATCATGCGATTCATCTCTTCGTCCTCGGCTAGGACTAAATCGTAACCTAAAAACATAAATAAAATAAAGTTAAGTTTAAACTTAATAGTATTCATTTTATTTATATAAAATGTTTTTGATAGTACTACATAATACATAGTTGTTTATTGACATTTAATAGTCATGAAGATAGTGGAGTATAGTATAGTCATACATAAGAATGATGATCTTTAAGACTTTTGCCAAGGGCATACTATTTTTAGTATTTTACAGATTGTGAGGGTCATACTTTGGAATTTAAATTAATGCCACTTTTATGTTTTTGAATATATAAAGTAATTAAAGCAAACATTACCTGATAATGCAACGCAGAAGATAATGGCTGTAACGCCCTCAAAGCAATGGATCCACTTCTTGCGCTCCGATCGCTGGCCGCCCACGTCAAAAAGCCTATAAAAAATGCAATCCATTAGAATCATAAATATAAACCAGATATAAAAAAGTAATCACAACTCACTTAAAGTGCAGCTGTTTGCAGGAGAAGTGCGTCTCGATGATGCCAGTGGTCTTTACTCGCGTACGGAGCACATCCTGCTGGGTGGGAATATAGTTCGGCTGCGCGATGCGATCCAGCGAGTTGAGATAGTATCCCGCCGAATCATTCAGTTGATATTCGCGGGATCGGGCATAGCTCTGCTGTACACCACCATCGGCCCAAAGTTTCTTCATCAAAAGCACAATCTCCGGTAGAAGGATTCCCTCATCCGCGGCGGAGGCATGTGTGAAGAACTGACGAGCAATGTCTGTTCTGCCAGGATCGGCAAACTCTATTTTAAGGCGTCCCATGGCCCTGATGATCACCATCAGACTCTGCACCGTGTTGCTAAAGACCACGCGGCGATACTCTTCGCATTCCTCTTGTGAGTAGCCCGTGTCATGGATGATCTTCATCTGTTTCACTATCGTCGACTTGCCAGACTCTCCGGCTCCTGGATAGCGAATTGGAAAATATAAAAATTAGTAATGTGATAATGGGTTATCTTAACAAGGGAGTAATATCATGCAAATTTCTTGCCCAGTGGGCGTGAACTCAAGTTCAGGGCGTAAAATTGAATGAATCAATGGTTTTACTATGGAACGGGGTGTAGATGCAAACGTTGAGAACGGAAGAGGAATTCATGAATGAATTGATCAAGAAATGTTGCTCAATTGCGAGTTCAAAAGGCCAAAAAGCTGCCGGTTTACGCTTAATTGCGCTGGTCATGTTAAGAAATGAATGAATGTCGTATGGTTTTTATATATATACAAATGTAGAGACGCCTCAACTCAGATTTCAACACCAAGAAAATGTTCACCGAATAGGGGTTAATAATATTTTATAGCATATCAATAAAAAGACAATATTTATCTTAGTTTCTAGTTTAATTATTATTAGCTGTTATGTACCCATCTTTTTTATAAATAATTGCAAGTTCTAACTTTAGCTCATTCGTCATTACCTTATAAATATAAAGCCAAGCCCTTAAGTTCATTGAACCCACCCAGCGGTTTTCAAAACTTATCAAAAGCCGGGTAAACGGGCGGAGAAAATTAACTCGACATAATTTTATTTGCTGAGAGGCTTTCAATTGTAAAATGAGACCTGACCCGACAGCGTTAATAAACAAACACAATCGTCTGGGCTGACCACCACACGAGTTTATTATCTGGTTTTCGAATGATAAAAAATTACAAAAAATATAATCACATTACGTGCTCGGCAGTTTCCCTTTTCGATGAAGGTAGAAAATGAAATAATAGAGAAAATTGGCAAATAAAATATTGGCAACTCTTGCCGTCAAGCCGTAGCTACCGGTCTAAGTTTTATTTGTATTTCAGTTATCTTTGGATATAGCTATGGGTATATATGGGTATATATATGCGAAAGATGTTGGAGTATTGCAACAATGGCACATTAAGACGACTTTTTGCTGCAGTTGGGTCCATTCCCAGCCACCGGATGATTAGGTAATTGCCGAAGCTCCCTCCGACTCAAACTAAAAAGCTGCGACTATACTTTCACTTTTTCACTCCTTTCAGGGCTTGGTACTTGCACTGAAACTATGAATTGTTTTTACTTTTCGTTAGTAAATCACCTACGGTTAAAAAAACCACCTTGGGGCGTACAGTTGCTTGAGGGGGTAATTAAATTTTTTTTTTATATTTTTCTTAATAATTATTGGTTTTAAAAAGTCGGTTTTTGGTTGCTGGTTGTAAATTATTTGCTTTAAAAAATCAATTATATAATGTTGATGTTGGGTTTATGATCTTTAGGTTAGAACGCTTTTCGATAGTTCCATTAGATTTATCTTTCTTGCACTGGCTCCGCCTGCCCTCTGCACTTGCACTCAATGACCTTTATTTTGTATTTTCAATAAACAACTCAAACATGCCTGTCTGTATATATTTTCAATTCCAACAAATCCTAACAATGCTTACTAATTTTGCAATAAAAAATATCGTTATGGTGGAATCACGGGAAGGTGCGACAGAGACGCATAGAGATAATGGCCGAACAACGGTCATCACATAATGATGAAACTGACAGATCTGAATACGAATATGGACATTAGCCGATGTTTAAACTTGCCACCGTGTGGACAAAAATAACCAGACTAGCCAACAAACAAAACAAAATTCACAAATGAACGGCAGAAAAAAAGGTCAATTTAATAATAATAATAATAACATAATGTGTGTGCGTTAGTATGTGTGTGCGTCTGGGCATTCATTTATCAATGCACCGTTAGCTGTGCCATAACAAGGGTGAAAGACAGCGAGTGCGAGCGAGAGCCAAACAATAGGGACAAGCGAGACCGGCTAAGAACAACGGCGGTACGCACAAAGCTATCCAGAGGCCGCGTTTACAAGCTCATTATCATCATCGCGATCGTCATGACCAAACGGTATTATAATTAACATCATTATACAGTGGATATTGGAGAAAAGAGAATCGGATTGAAGAATCTTTGAAGTGGGCTCATCTTACTAGGCATTTCCACAAACAAAAACATTAAAATATGACTTTTATTAGATATTTTTAAAAGGTTTTTAGAGCTTTGGTAGGATAAGTCATTCACAAGAAATCTTAAAACATATTTAAGAATTAAATTTCTGCTTAAAAATATGTATTTTCTCACTTTTCCAACTCGTTCTGATGTAACTTTATGTAAAACTCTTAAGCATGTTGAATCTTAGAGCCTGGCTTGTTAAAGATTTTTAAAACATCTTAAATCTTTAAGATTTGGTAAGAATGGTAAATCTAATATTCAGCAGAAATACTAAATTAACAAATTTTTCACTTTAATTTGTAAATTAAAATGACTAATATTCTAAAAATAAAGCAAACTCAAACATTTTCCACTGTATTTGCCTTTTTGGGTGGGGGAACTTTCTAAGGCAACGTGCAACGTAGTGCACCAAGTAATTGACTAGATAATTATTAAGCGGCGTTAGAATCATCATTAGAAATGGTGACTAAACCCCCTCCAAACACATACAACAATACGATGAGAGAAATAGCTGAAGACAGCGAGAGGAGGAGAATCGTAAGAAAGTGTTTGCGCCATGAGTAATCAAGTTAAATGGCGCCTGAACTCGGTTATCGAAGTGGGAAATGTGTTAATCAGCGGGGAGTGTGAAATTGCGACGAACCCACTAAAAACGTAAACAATTAAATCAGATGAAATGGGGCCCTAAAACGGAAACCCCCACCAAATACGATCCAACCCCCAATGACTTTCACACAGATCTCAATCCTGCTTATCATGAAATTTCCATCGTTTTCTTATATAAATTACGATTCCATCAATTATTTAACCATCCATATATATAATATTTATATAGACCACATAGCTGTTCGAAATTGACGTATAAGGTCACTACTTAGCGATAATTTTGATAAGCCAAATGATACTTTCAGTTTACTGAAGTGTGTTGGTATGTGAGTTCTTTAAAAAAAATTCTAGATTAAGAGCTGTGTTGACAGTCTGGGTTTCGATTTTGATATTGGTGCGGCAGAAGCATGACATTATTTTGTTTATATTATATATTATATTTTTTTTTAATGCAGATATACAAGCTGCTTACTCATGCCCCAAAAGCGAATTTAAAGCTCTCTCTTTGGTTCTCTCCATGCGAATATCATTAAAACTAATACTAGAATTCACATTATTTTCCCTTGAAAACGAAATGTTTGGGCTTGTAGGGGGGGTAAAAAAAAAAGAAATTCAACTGAAAGTTGTACTTTTCAATTGAATGGCGTGCAGAAAAGGGGGAAGATGGAGAGAAGTGTAATATAAATTAAGTGTCAGCAGAGGAGCTTTATTAAATCTACACAATAAGCCCAGCGTTGGGGGCTGACAATTCCAATTCCAATTTGAGCAAGCGGTCGCACTGCACATGAAAAAACGGAAACATTTTCGATGATAAATAATAGTAATATTTTATATTCCACAAGAAACTGTTTCCGACTTTTAAAAAGTCTGAAGTATTGATATTTTCTATATTTGGAGTTTCTCTGATAAAACTCCAAGATTTCTAATTTCTGATATATCAAAACATATGGCTGAAAAGGCAAGACTTAAGGTTCAATTTGGTATACAATATTTCTCTCAGTGTAGCAATAGCAGCTGCATTTGGTGGCGGGGCCATTTATTTGCGCTAATATCGTTCACCCCACTTGAAATGTCAGCGAACAAATAACAAAAAAGCAGCAACAAAAACACGGCCAATTACTCAGCTTTGCGATTGAAGAGAGTTGTTGTTGTTGTTGTTGCTTGGAATAACAACCAAGAGAGAGCAAAGCGCAGGCGCAACGAACGACGGCTCAGAGATCAGAGATCGGTTTTCATTATGATCTAGAGAAATTACAGAAAATTATGGCACACAAAGTGCAAACACAGCCCACAATAACAATGCTAACAATTAAATCAAGTGCAGTTGGCGGCGGAAAAAAGTTAGTAAGAAAATTCTGAAATGCAACTGGTGCAAGGTGTTTTCATGTCTAAGTAAACCTGCCTCATTTACACTGGTCAGCCTGGGGTTTGGGACAAACACAGCTGAAAAATTTAAAGATAATAGAGGATTGGGAAGTAAACAATGCGGGGATGAAAACTCTAGATCTTTCCTGCACCTTTCTTCTGATAATTCCCAAACCGGTTTCCAGGCTTTTTTTAAAGATGGGAAAACGATTTTCAATTTAATTTTCCAGGTCACAAATACAGTAGTTACTTTAAAAGAAAGAAAAATCGAAGTGCAATGAACAACAGATTTTTAAAACATTTTTCTGTATAACTAAAAATTAAAAAAAATGCATACATTGTATTGTGATCAGCTATGTGCTTAAGGTAGCCAATCCCCACTGTACCTTTCAGCCTGCCAATTGCTGCCTTACTCATCTTGGCTCGGTTCATTAGCAAATCAACAGTGCCGCCAGCGAAAAGCTAGAGAAAAACTCAACTTCATTGTTTTCAAAAAATGAATGGCAATGAAAATGAAAAGTACACACGCAGACAGTGAAACATGATCGTTCCCATAATCGTACATCTACAACATCGATATGTGTGTATGAGTGGAAATTTAAATGCAGAAGGTTGCAACGCCGAGCGGCATTTAATTTCACTGCATTTGCCGCAGAGGTCGGGTCACCATATATGCGATACGTTGGCGCCTCGCCGCTTGAATGGGTTTTCCTACTAAGCGAAAACCGCTGCACCACTATCGGAACCACCAACAAAGTGCATATATCAAACATGTTTCCACATGGCGGCGATCCACTTGTTTCGGATCGATCCAAAAGATCTGAAAAGTGCGTGCCACTAGACGAGAATTGAGAACTGAGAACTGACATTCGGTTTCAATTTACGTTCAATTCCCTTATCGCCAACGAAATTATTGGACACAGACATTGCATAATGCACACCAAACAAACAGACGGAGTTGTTTAGCTTGAGCCAACCATATTTCCGATTTTTAATGGAATTCCGAAGATATACATACGTAGATATATATAAACAAAGAGATACATAAAAACAATAAATGTTTATTAAAATAAAAATTATATGAAATTAAAACCAAGTAAAATTTGATGTTAAATCGCTTCCTGATTTTGTTGAATAATTTATCAATAACTTTAATTCCGTTTTGAATTTCCGTTATTATTTCAAAAAAATTTATCTAAAAGTATTTTACATTTAGATTAAAGTTAAATTTTTCTAGAATTTTTTAACTAAGCTTATCTTAACAATTTTTGTAATTATAATTCTAGTTTATTTTGTATATTCATTTTTTAGCGCAAGTTAATGAGAAATTAGATAACATTTTCTTAAAGCTACAACTTTGGTTTTACAATTTTTCAACCAGTTTATGAATAATCTGTTGCTAGATCGCCTGCATATGGTTTTCCATAGGGAAAAGCCGGTAAAAATCCTGGGCTAAACTCACCACAGTCGAAAAACGGAACCGAAACTGAAACCGAAAACCCACCCCGCCCAAGCTACAAGAAAAATGAGGTCAGAGCGCGAATTTCAGAACTCTCTTTCTCTTTTGAAAAAAATAAGATAATTTGCAATATGGGGAATACCGAAAATTGGATGAAAAATGTAAATCAAACAGGAAGCTAATCAAATTATATGGAGACGCACCCAATAGCAGCAGTTTCACCTCCGAGGCGGCTCTTTCGCCCTCCAACCTCAACGCGCGATCGATGTCTTTGGACCGTTCGCTGGCCTCTTTATCGCGTGCTGTACTCACGGCACAACCCATATTCGCTTTATGTCTTTATCGCGCTTTAATCCCAAAGGCCTGGCAACAGGGCTTTTCCGCTTTTCCCGGCGATTTCCGCACTTTTCACTCGCGATTTTCGACGATATTCGAGATGCGTCTGCGCGTCGTCGGCTGTACACTTTTTTTCTGCTCTTTTTCTTCGTTTTTTTTGTGTTTCCACCTCTCCTCCTTTCACACAAACACACCACACATGCGCAGGGGCACGCACACAACCACTCACACGCAGGGTTTCTTTGGACGCTTTGGTTTTTGGGTTTTCTTTCAATAAACCCAATGCACTACTATATTTTATGATTTATGCTGTAGCGGCAAAGCCGATTAAATTTCATTCGTGTTTAAATTTGCTTATCCGCCGATTTTGCTATGTGCAATATGATTCACTTTTGATCGTATGAGTTTAGTGAGACCGTTTGTTGTTTTTTTGAAGATCGATTGCCAGCTGGCGCTAGGTCATTTTCAACTATGACAGGTATGACAGCATTGGCTGGTTGGAAACTTTGCTAAGTAAACTATGTGGCATTACTAGTTTGAGTGAAACTTAACTAAGATCTGCCTGATTGGGCGGCAATTTTAAAATATATTTCATATGCCAAAAAACATTTCCATTATATCAACTTTGTATGTTTTTATGTTATTAAGCAACCTAAACGATCTTATTTCTTTTGGTCAGCCATTATCCATAATTTCATTATGCCCAACTTGCCCTTTGCCTTTTCGTTTTTTGTTTGTTGTTATAGCGCTTTAAGTGTAAATAAACATAGCCGAAAATGTGATGTTATTCAAATATGCAGGCGATCGTCTGCCTCTTTCATCCCCCACTCTTTGGCTCTCTTTCTCCTCTGCAATATGCACGCAAGCCGGAGGAAAAAAGTTCTCAGGTCCCTGGCATAAATAATATTTGCCTTTGGGACAATACAATTCTGATTTGGAATCCAAATGTTTGCAGTTGCATTTGATTGGGATACAGTTGGGCTTCTGTATGACGGACTAAATTTGGAAGAAAAAAAAAATTCTCATTAAGATTTTTATTAAACGATCAAAACATCAATTTTATTTCGTTAAAGACAAAAATATTTCCTTTTTTACAGTTCCTAAACATAATATTTGTTAAGGAATGCCCTCTGTCTGCCTCAATCGATGATATTAAAAGAAATTTGTGAATCGGGGAGGGCTTTCCGCAGCTAATTTATCTAAACAAAAAGATGCAAAGGCTGGGCAGGAAGACGAGGATGAAGATGGGGTCGCAGTGCAAAAGTTTTGCCGCCGGCGGAGGACGTCACATGTGGCACCCCCACCCCTTCCCCCAAAAAACCTATACCCCTCCCGCTTGCGCTCCGGCAAATAGAGGCCATCAACGGGTCATGATTTACACATGTTTACACGATACGTGCGGCATTTGTCGAGGGGCGTAGGGTAAAAAAAGGGGGCAAGGGGAATAGGAATAAAGGGGATCGGGATCATGATTCCCGTTGCCTTATGAATGAATGATCGCTTGGTCTTTTGCTGTAATATATCGTAAAAAGCCAACGCTAGAGAAATATGGATTTCTGCGGTTTTCCATGTGCGAGCAAGAGACAGCGATGCTGCACTTTGGGTGGTCTCTCTACCCATCTTTGTTGCACTCAATCCCGGCAAATGAGGCGCATGCTGCTCGCATTGTTATTGCTGTTGTTGTTGTTGCAGTCGGAATCGGAATCCCAAACTGTTTGCTGATGCCAACAAATTTGACGAATGTCGGCATTTCAACCAAAACTTCAATCGGCATCGCAAAGAAGAAACCAAAAACAACAAGCTGCCAAGAAAACAGCAGCTAAAGAGAAGAAGAAGATGAAGGAGCAATTACAAGGATGGGCAAGGCCTTGAAATAGATATACCGTTAGATAACTCACACCAACTATGCACAGTGAGAAATAGATATGATTTTTAACAAGATGGATGGAATTTTTGTTCGATTGATGGGAAATTCGGGATGTGGTAAGGAAATTTAAAAAGGGATGATAACTTTTTAACAGCTGTTTTTAACTGATTTATACCTTTCAATAATAATTCATTCCTAATTTTCTCTCAGTGTCCACATACAGAGTTTGGCACATGTGTTGGCCTAGCACTGGGCAAACTCAAGATTGAGAAGATTAATTTCCCCGTTAATTCGGGAAGCTGGAAAATTTAGTTTCAGATGAAATCTTTCGCTGGCCGTTGAAAGGTGGAACAGACAGGCGGGAAAGCCCCGCAATTCCCTCCATTATCATCCATCTACCACTTCCCCTTTTCAATCTCCAGTCGCAGCCAAGTGAAGTTGCAGTCCGCCGACGAGAAGCGTTTAAAGAGCATTGATGGATTCTCCAGGCGTCGATCGTCGGATCATCCAATTGATTTTCGGCAGTTTTTCAAAAGGCGTCAAGAGGTCGACAAGTTGAGAAAGTAAATTGATTGGGAAAGTGGAAAGGTGTCTCACAGAGGTCTTATAAAATTAGATTTTAATCCTAAACTATCTTAGTACCAAAAATTAAATAGTACAAAAAGCTAATTGATTGGAAATTTTTTATTCGGTATCTTTCCAACAAAAGTTCCGATCTATAAAATGTCCTGAAATGCATCGACTAATAAAATTGATTTATGTTTCATAGACATTTGCCTTTGCCAAACCAACATTAAAGATACCCCAGACCTCGAGTAACCCCATTAATGCCATAAATTTCCAGCGATTTGCCAACAAAATGAGGCCGCAGAATCATAAAAGCAGAGCGAATAATCTCTTTAACTAAAATTAGCCGGACACGATTTGTTTACACTGCGATAAAGTAATAATTACCCCAAAAAACAGTCGAGCACAGAAACATATATTACACCGATTCGTTTCGATCAATCCAAGGCAACCGAGAAAAAATATAAAAATAAAATCATAGAGCTGGGAAAAAAAAGAGTTTTCCAACCATTGGCTTGGGTCGACTTGAACCGACAAGTGTGACTATGGTTGGGGGTTATAAATATATATATATATATATGTTTTTTGTTTACATCAGGCAAAGGAGGAAAAGCCGAAAATATAGATCTTACATGGCCATACGGTTGCAACCTGCCTGGAAAAAGAGGAAAATCGTTCGGCGGCAGGAAACTAAAGTCGCTGGCAAATGCAATTGAATTGCCATAAAAATGGGAAGAACCAAGAGAAGTAGGGTGAGGACTTTAGCATTTAGTAGCCACCCACTCACGGATGTGGGATTTATTAGTTCCCCAGGGGTTCTGGACTTTTGGCTAATCTTTGTCATGCATCTGGGTTTTGGATTTTTCGCAGTCTTCAAAGACTTGCAACTATAGTTGGATGTTACGTGGGAGCTTTTAAGCACCTGCCAGCTGATGCTGTGCAGTTTTTCCCACCAAATTATAATGCCTATAATTCATTCAAAAACGATCGCTTTTATCTAACAATTGGTTTCGCTTAAAATTTTGATACGTTTCCCCTGGTCAATCTTGCCTTTCTTCACTTTAAATTCTCCCTCCGTCTGGCAGACATCGTAAACGGTCCATGGAAATGATGTTATATCACTTGTCCAAGTCTGGGCATTGCCTGTTCTTCCAAAGCTATTTTTGCCAGATTTTAGTTGATGCTTTATGGCTTTATAATGTCTGTGCACGTTCTGTTTTATGATCTGCCCGTAAAATGGACCCGATTCATGTTGAGCCTCCCGGCAACAATATGGTAATTTGTTGGCCATTATATGATCTTCTTAGGGAAGGGGTGACTTCTGGCTATAGCCTGTGAAGGCCTGGAAAGAATATTGGAAAAAGAATAAAACTATTCTTTAACTAGAAGTTAAGTCCCTTACCTATGACCTCTTTGATTCCTCTTCCTCGGCCACATCCTTGGGCTCCTTTCGGAAGGATTGACACTTTTCCATGAGCTTACTAAAGAGTCCGTTCTCATTTTCCACTGCCGCCGCCTGATGGCGAAGGATCAGCAAAGTGCTTCGGCATTGTAGCAAAAGACGGGACATTTTTTGAATTGATTTCAGGAATAATGTATTAACTGAAAATTTGATTTGACCTCAAGGTAGTTTGAACTGTTCCTCAAGGCTTTCTATGATCTCAAAGTTTTGATTATGAAATTGTGGAAAATCATTTGGCTTCTTGATGTAGCAACTTAGGAACCTCTTTCAGTTTTTCTTACATTTGTCTCCAGATTTATCATCTGAACCACCGCCAGGTGGATTCTTGCACTTCGGTTTGGTGGGAAGTTTAGCTGGTAAAAGAAAATACCAAATTATAAAGGTAATAAATATATATAAGATATATAATAACCCACGTCTTCCACATAAATCCAAGTTCTTCTTTTTTTTTTTCTTAGACTCCTCCTTACAGGACTCGCTCTTTGAATCGCCTTTTTTAGCCGAATCAGCAAGTAGGCGCGGGCTAATCAAGTCTTTGCTAAATTTAAGAAACGATATATTTCGTATTTTAAACATTTTATATCTTGTTTTCCGAAAGATTTTCCTAAAAAACTTATCACTATTTAAAATTTTGTTGATTTGAAAAAGGAAAGTTTACTTTGAACTGTGATTTTTGATTTAAAGTTTAAGGTTAAGGTTGCTGGGGTTATTTTTTTGTTCTGAAACAAAATTGCAGACCAGACCAATATTAAGAAGTTACTAGATATATCCTGACCTCATCCTACCATCTTGCTAGCCAGAATTCTGATCTAGGTGCCAGAGGAATTCCATGACTAAAATGACATGTGGGTGATCCGCTTCACCATTCCAGCTTGGCTTGCATTTTCCTCGTCTTGGTTTTCGGTTTCAGTTGCAATTACAAGCCGGGTTTTCAGTTCCCCTGTGGCTACCGCTTACCAAAACCGATCTCAAGTGGCGACCGCACACATTAACCACGGACCATGACTCCGGGGCAAGGGAGCTGGAAAAGCGGCGCCACGTCAAAATATTTGTCGTCAGCGCCTCAATTGTTTCGATTTATATTTATGGTGCGGATAATTAGGAGACTGCTGCGTCAGGATGTCGCCGTCGATTAAGCCCGAAAAAGAAAAGGAATCCACTTGAACATGATATTGGTCTGCGGCTGTGATCTTGTTTGAATTTTTACTAATGATCTGGTGATGATAGCTTGTCAAGAAATTGGGTTAAATGTGTTTCGAGGGGGTTAAAGGTATTTAGGGGTAAGGAGATTGTAGGAAAATGTCAGATATTAGTCAGACTTAGCCAGACAACCTTATGTTCTTTATGTACAGCCTGAAAATCCTTCAACTATATGAACTTATCCTAAGCTAATAGCTCCAGCATTCGACTGTCAAGCTCTCGAACACAGCCCATGACATTTCAATGTTGAGCAAGCAAGCAAGCAAGCAAGCGTGTTTTTCAGTTTTTCCCCGGATCCGTATATTTTTAGGCCTCACAGGTGCGCTGCCCTCGAAGGCCAAAAGACGGAGACCCGTAAAAAACGCGTCTACAAAAGCCCTGGAAGAACAAAGCAAACGACACGGAAGATTTGGGGGGAGGAGAGAAGAGAAGTGAAGAGCAGAGAAGAACGGAGGACCAATGACGACAATGAGCGTGAAATGATACGAAACAGATGCCATCCAATGGAGGCGATGGGAACATCGTTTCGCTGGAGAAGATCGAAGGAGTGGGAAACGTAGATCGTGGCTCGTTATGTGAGTGATCAGCCATTTTGGCAAAGGGTGCTTAAGCGGAAAGATTAATTACTGCCAACGTTGCGGAATCAACGATCCGACGATGAAAACCAAGTAAATCCCCAGAGATCAGATGCTCGATTTCAGTTTCCTGTTCACCAAAGCGGTGAGTCAACGCCATTTAAGTACCGGCCATTAAACTAAAAGCTAAACAACAACAACCAAAGTGGAGAATCGGATGCGATTGCCTTTTCGGCCATCCCAAAAAGTATCTTTCTTCTTTTTTTTTTTTGTTTTTGGGTCTTTTTCAAAAGTAATTTGTAGAATGCTCTTCTCGCTCTTCGCATTGCCAGTCTTCTGACCCGTTTCTTTCGTTTTTCTCTTTTTTTTCTTTCTTTTTCTTAATTTTTGTACATTTGGCGCAATTATTGCGCACCAAATGGATCGCAAGTCTATAAATTGTTCGATTTTATTGCGCCAGCTTCGACAGTTGAATGGCGCAAAGCGCCAATTTGGGTGAGGGGAAGGGGTTAGGTTTTCTTCTTCATTGAAGGCGTCTCTGAACTTTTACTGCCTCTGGCCCATAGTTTGCATAGTTTGGCAATGGCACCACCGTCGGCGGCACTGGCAATCTTGGCCATCTTGCGCAAGGCTTCCATCTTGAATTCATACCCCCGTACATGAGCACAGCGGCCAAGGTGTTTATGGCCAACTGAAGTGCCAAAGTGTGGCAATCGTTGGTCACAACAGGAGGCGAGATCCAAAAATGCAATTAACTGTATGGGCACAGCACTTTTTTTTGAGTCAAAAGAACGAAGGAATTTTGATTTTCAAGAACAGCAAAATTCATTTGATGTGGAATGCGGAGTTTAAAAATATTTCCAAGATCTTAAAATATTAAAAAAATATATAGTAATATTACTAGCAATAATCAAATTCTTTCTAATAAATTTTAAGAACATTTTGTATTTATTTTCTTGAATTTAAACTACATTTGCTGCTATTTATGTTAGCATTTTCTTGATGTAACTATTCAGCTTTAAACTAAAGCCAAACAAAAAATATTAGGTTGTCAAAAAAGTTTTGCGGTATTTTCGCTAGTTGGCGCTGAAAGCGCGTAGTTCTTGTTTTATCTTGTTCGTCGCATCAGGTCATACTATACCTTTTTGGAAAGCTCATTTCACGCGCTAATACTTGTTTGATTGATTGTCTTTTCTTTTAAGTCCTTCGTGAGTTATAGCTTCGCAATCATGGAGCAAAATAAAGAGAAAATACGGCATATTTAACAGTACTACTACGATAAAGGCCAAAATGCATCTCAAGCCGCCAATAAAATTTGTGCAGTTTATTAACCCGATACAGTTTCCATTTCCACCGCACAACGATGCTATCAACATTTTCGTTCTTGTGTAGAGGTGGTCGAAGATGCGCCACGCTCTGAGTTTTTTTGCCAATAGGGAAGCGAGCTTCTATGAGAGAGGCATTATGAAGTTGGCATCTCGTTGGGAACGCGTCATCGAACAAAACGGCGCATATTTGACTTGAATCGCATTATTGTAACCAATTTTATACCGAAAGACTTTTTCGACAACCTAATATATAAAAAATTCCCTTAATAAATTACACAAATTTATAAATATCCAGCATGCTTATTAGTAATTTTGAATATATTTTATAACAAATTATTTCCCATTTTAAATGTATTTTGAAGTAATTTTCTACCTTTATTAAAAGAAATCCTTTTTGTCTTTGATTAAATGTTTGTTTTATTAATAAAGAAGACATGTAACTATATAGTAAGATAAAACATAATTCATATATAACACCAGGTGCCTAAAGTGTATTTTTTCACTAATCATATTTGAAAAAAAAACCCCTAATTTAAACTTATTTTATTAGTCTTAAAAATCCCTTCCTTTTATCTCACTTTTCCTTCACACATAAAACCTTTTTTCCGTTTCCGTTTACTCTGCCACCCCCAAAAAAGTAGCCAAAAAAAATTCCTTTTTATTTTCTTGCCTCGTTTCCTTATTTATAAAACATTGCAAAATATACCACCCCCCTCTCCGTGATCTTACCTGTTTGAACTTTGGGCCATAATCGCCAGTGTTTATGCCACTCAAGTTTGTCAACCGCATTAGTACAAACAAGATCGAGTCTACTTAGCAAGAAATGCTCGCATTTAATGGGAAATAAAACGTGGAAATTCATAAATATTTACAAACACATAATTACAGTCGTGGGAAAGAACAATAACAACTTAAACGGTGCCTGGTTAAAACAAAAAAAAAAACCGATGTTTGTGTATTCGAATTTGGTTTTTGGCCACAACACGTGAGCCTAATCAAGCAACTGTGTGATAAACAAAAATTGAGATCAGATCGGAATCGAAATAGGAATCGTTTAGAGAGCGAGATCTGAGCAACAAATTGCACATACTAGAATGTAAATATTTAAACAAAGTCTTGGCCAAGTCAAAATATGGGCCAAAGGGGGCGGCTGCTAACGAAGTTTAACTTGACGGCATAATTTTCGCTACTCTTTGTAAATATTTTGAATTATTTTTGGGAAATTTCCCTAACTTGTAGATTATTTTTGATTATTTATTGGTAGACTGTTTAATAAGTCAAAGGGGGCGTGGCAGTTTAGATGCAATTGTTTGCTTTCAACCGTTGTTGTAGGTCAGTGTGCGAAAAACAAATCCGAATGCGGCTTCTTCTTGTATACAAAACTTGTTCTTGCTGTTGTTGTTGTTGTTGTTGTTGTTGTTGTGTGTTTAGAGTACAGCGTTTAATTGTTAAATGTTTATTAAAACTACAGTTTAAACAATGCCAGAGATTGCCCATGATGATGATGATGCCCATCCAGGAGGAGCAGTAGCACCACCATCAATGGAATAGAATCGAAGATCAGCCGGCTCAACGCGTCGTATACATAATTTTGTGTTTACAAACACCCATAATAGTAAACAATTTTCGGCCATTTAATAACATTAACATTAAAATTAAAAGCAAAACAAGCATTGTGCCTTCTTCTTCCACGTCTATGCCAACTTATCTTTATTATGATTATCTGAACTTGAAAACTGGAACAACACGATGTGGAATGGCCTGAGATGACGACTTTTGTTTGGGAATTCCCTTGTTGAGTGTTTATGGATCGGATATGTTATGGCCGCCAAGATCAAGAGATCATCCATAGATACAGGACTGTTATATCCATAGATATACAGGAACTGTTGACCCAGTTAAGATGACGCATTCGCTAGCTAGCTGGGTGGCCATTGCAATTTCCTCGGACATTGGCTATAAATAAACGACTGGCTATGAAGACAACTTGTCCAATCGGGAAATGTAAAATGAAAATCATTGCAGGGAAAAGTCAAATTCTTGGCAAACATTTTTCCTGAAACGGAAACTGTCAAAATCTGGTCGAGCAATCTTTGATCAGTTTTTGGCGTAAATATTCTGTGGGCAGTAAATGTAATGCTATCTCAGCCATAAATCAAATTATTGGAGGGAAAATGTTTTTGGTTTTTCTTATTTTTAAGCATTTTATACTTGGAACTATAAACTACAAACGATTTTTAAGAGAAACTGATTTATTTTTTAATATTTTCAACCCATTTGTTGTCTTTTCTAGCCATTTTATTTTCACCTCTATAAAAGTTTATAATCTAAAAACCAAAAACTTATTAATGATTTATGTTTTCTTTTTGTAAGTTATGGACCAGACCCGATTACCCGATTCTGGGAATCCATCGCCGGGCAGAGCTATTAATTAATTTCCCGCCATTTCAGGGTCTGTGAGCTATTGCCTGGGGCCTGCTTAATTTATTCCTCACTCGGGGGAAAATTCCTGAATTTGCACACCAAAACAAAAGCAGCGGGAAAAACAAAAAGGAAAAATAGTCGAAAAAGTCGAAAAAAATCCAATAAGAAGAAGTAATAATAATCAAAAGTAAAATTAATTTATGGCCTCCAAACCGCAGAAGCCGTAAGAAAAATGGCCAAAAGTGAAGAAAAATATCTGAATGGAAATTACGAAAGTTGAAGGAATTCAGCAAATATCGGAAAAGCCGAATGGTCTTCTGGGAAACACGCAGAAAATGGCGAGTGGTGGATGAAATTAAAATATCTTTTAGGCCGACGAAAGAAGAAAAATATAAAATAAATGTAGCCAGGAGAACGGAATTCTGCGCCTTCTTCTTCGATTTCGATTCGATTTTCTCAATCAATGCCCGACGCCGTCGACAAATAGAATTTCGTGAAATGTAAACAAAACTCCGCCCCCGTGTGTCCCGCCACAGAATGTATCTGTATCTTTGTGCGCGTCCCTGTGTATCTGTATCTCGCTTCTTCTTTTTGGGGGAATCGAATTGAAACGTTGCCCCAGGCGACGGCGAAGGTGTGAGAGAGAGAGTCAGCATTAGCGGCAGAGCGAGAGGTTGCGTTTTGGAGAGCGGCGTCGCCATCGTCTCGGTTCAGGGGTGTAGTTGGGAGGGGTTTTTGGGAGGGATTGCAAGTACTAGAAAGGAAATATTAAATTTCTCTCATATTTTACATATTTTTAAGCCTTCATTTAAAAAACAAATTTCATGCTTAACAGCATCTTCTTTCTATAGAAATATACCCCCTTGCCACACCCATGCTTCCTTCTCCGTCACGGTCGTCTTGCTGCCAATGAGTCGGCGTAGTGCTGACAGGCAATGGCGGCACTCAGGGGCTCTGCCGTACGCTCCGCTCTCCGGCGGTGTACCGTTCGTACTACCTCCCCCCCCTTCGGGGCTACCCTCTTTGCCACTGCCCCCATCTCGATCCGGATCCGTGCCAGGCAACGACTAAATCAATTAACAGCTCGTTTCGAAATCCGAATGCCGCCTCCAGCAACGGCAGCTTCCTTTTTTTTTTTCTTTCTTTCTTTTGGTTTTTCCATCGAATCCGTTGGCACTGCTAAACGTTAATTCATTCGGGCTAATTGCGGGGTTCGATCTTCGAGGATCTCTTTCTGCTTTTCGACTATTTATTAACTGTTGACTGGCCAAAGAGGGGGGGTGGAGGAGAAGGCCTCCCAGCGGGTAAATGGATGCACAAAGGTTGCCAATGGTTTGACTCAATCTCAGTCCCAAACCGAAATTCGCATCGGAAATAATAACCATAATGAGAGAGTAATGAGTGGGTTCCGATCGAGAGATCTTTGGGGTCATGGGGGTATAAATGCAGGCCAGATTTAAAGACTCTTTGAACCAATTATTGCAATTACTGTACACAGATTGCCATGTTTACAGGAGAAGCAGTTCAAAGTGCCAAATGTAGCTGCGTAAATTCGGGGTGATATTAATTATGGCAAGTATGGGGTTAATAATGGGAAATTTTGGTTAAAAAGTTGCAGGGGCAAGAATTTATCATATTTTTCTAAGAAAATTTGCTGATGAAGTCGCTTAAAATTCGCAAAGGTTAGTTAATATAACTTAAACTTAAAACTTTCCTTAAACTTTGTCATTTTTGATTTGCATTTTTAGTAGATTTCATCAAGTATTTCATCACCATTCATATCTGAGATAGTTTCTGTTAGCTTAGAAGAATACCTAGCGGAATACCTGATACTCCCACAAACTCTCCCCAGTAACAGCAATCCCCCAAAGACTCGACTTTCCTCCTGATTCCCATTTAAGTTTCTCAAATACATGGCATACCTAAGATCCACTTTCGCCAATAACTGCAGTCCCCAAGTCACAGACCTGCACCAGAGAGAATCATTTGCATTTTCTAGGAGAGGAGAGGAAAACCCCGAACGACCGAGCCAATTGGCAGCGGGACAAAAAAGAGAGCAACCCAGACATACACATAAGAAAAGTCAAGAGAGCGATTTGCGTAAGGCGTGGGCGTACTAAAAAAAGAATTCCGGCCGATGGCAACTCAAGTGGATCGCATCGGATGGGATCGTGGTTTCAGCTTCGCTCCAGGACCGATCTGCCATCAGTCGAGCGAGAATAGCCAAGCGGTGCGGTCTTCCAGTGGTTATACAAAAAATAATAATATTCCGCCGGAGAGAAAACGCGCGAGTTTTAGAGAGAAAAGCTATTCCCAAAAAGGAATATTCAAAAAGAAAATCTTTTCAAATTTTGTGATTTAAAAAAGAAAAGCAAAGAAACTTAAGTGAAAATGATTAAGAGTGAGGAGGTGTCGGATCGGTCGCTTATGTCCATGGAACAGTTGGGTTACTACCATGATCCTCGTGCCCACCCGCCATTCAGTCATCCCCACAGCCACACCCACACCCACCCGCACAGTCAGCCACATACTGGGCATTTATATCGATCGGGAAATCTGTTACCTGGTAGTGGCAATTACCAGACAATGGGTGGCGGAGAATCACCCACGGAGATGGTTGATCAGAAACCAAATATCGGGTATATGGAACTTAAGCATTATATGGAGTCTACGCCCACTGCCACGCCCGTTTCGACAGCCCAGCATTATAGTCTGAGTGCCTTGCACAGCATGGGTACACCGCCGGCATCCTCAAGTCCAATACCACCATATGGCGTCCTAATGACAGCCCATTCGACGGGTTCAGCCTCACCGCAGTCTAATTCAAAGACGCCCACGGACTTGCCACAGGATCTGCAGTACGTGAGCTCCACACCGAAGGTGCAGACGTTGCAGGTGCAACTGCAACCGATGAACCATCAGTATGCCTCCACCATTAAGTACTGTTCGAATAACACCATACTCAGTGCGAATGACTACCAACTGCTGACCAGTCACGACGTGGAGCAACAGGCACCACAGCAAGTCCAACCCCAGCAGATCCAGCACTCACCAGGTAGTGCCTACCTGCCGCGGATCTCCACATCTCCATCACAGGTTATTAGCAATGCCCATGGAATGCCTGTTCTAAACTACTCCAGTTCGAGTTCCTCCCCTGCTAAATCTTTGAATGGATCGGATTCCTCTCCGCCTAGTCAAAATAGCCAGGTGATCAAGGTAGCTGGTGGGGGAGCTGGTGGAGGTGTCTCCAGTAACCAGGATACACCCAGCACTCCTGATACTGCTAAGAAGTCCGGCACCCGGCGGCCAGAGAAACCTGCCCTTAGCTATATCAATATGATCGGACATGCCATCAAGGAATCGCCCACCGGAAAACTAACGCTCTCGGAGATCTATGCTTACTTGCAGAAGAGGTAACTATTGTGATCTGGGGGTAGGGAAAAGGAAGATCAGGGTTGCCTTGGTTCTTAGTATAGAGTCCTAATTAGATTGTAAAGGAAGTAGGAACTATATCCACGTTCTAATCAGTGATTGCAGATTGATGTTTACCATTAGATTTTGAAAGAACAAAGCAAACTGCTTCTGGGAAAACTCCTTAGGATTACTAAGGCCATCAGTAATCTTCGGAATATGGAAGATAACTTAATAAAGTTTAAGTTTTTCCAAAGATATTCCCATTAGGTTAATGGCTGCTTAGTCTTATTAGCAATTCAGAATCACAAAACTTAATCGAATAAAAACTCCCATTAATAAACCCGATCTTAAGAATCTCAAACGGAGCCAATTGGCGATATCGAGACTCTGGCAGATACGGTTATTAATACCACAACCGATCCATGTCGGGCAAACAACAAAAATGTGTCGCTTGGTTTTGTTTACTTGCCTCCGATTTTATTTGGCCAACTCGACTTGCCGCATGCGCATCCTTCAGATAGCTCAGATTTCGCGTCGATTGTTTGGATTTCGATTTCGGCGACGAGACGGAGATCCACTTGAGCTTTTATAGGGTTCAAGTTTGGGGCCAGAGGGGATTCCAAATGCGTGTGAGAGGCTTTTAAGCTGACATCGTTTATTTTTTTAACGACGAGCTGCGATCATCCCAAAAAAAAAAAAGTTTTAATTGAGTTTCGCAAGGCGAGTAAAATAAATAAACCCGCGATTATCAATTTTCATCTTTTGTCGATTGTCTTTGGGATCAAAAGGGAAGAGAAAACTTGATCTTGGCAACATAATGTGTGACATATCTGATTATCATATATCTATATCTAAAATCATTATAATTTTTCGCCTTTTAGCTATGAGTTCTTCCGAGGACCTTATGTGGGCTGGAAAAACTCAGTGCGTCACAATCTCAGCCTAAACGAGTGCTTTAAAAAGCTGCCCAAAGGCATGGGCGTGGGCAAGCCGGGCAAGGGTAACTACTGGACCATCGATGAGAACTCAGCACATCTCTTCGAAGACGAAGGCAGCCTGAGACGTCGACCAAGGGGTTATCGCTCCAAGATCAAGGTCAAGCCGTATGCAGGTCATGCCAATGGTTACTACACAGGCAGTTATGGGGATGCGGGAATGGTAAGTTTAAAAAACTTAAAAAAAAACCAAAAATTAAATAAAAATTAAATATAAATTTTTCTTCCCCTAACCAGGACAATGCCAACTTCTACGCTTCGCCCGCCTTTGCCAGCTACGATTACAGTTCAGCTGGAGCTAATGGAGTCTCACCGGCTGGTGGTCAAGGATTTGGGGATCCCTGGAATGCCCATGCCGCTCACAGCGGTGCCTCTACGGTGGGCATGGGAGTGGGTCCACTGCCTCAGTACTCGAATATATCCTGCCTGGCAGCTGGAGGAAATCTCAATGGATCCGCCTCAACGCCCCCACTGGCCCACTCTGCCCTGGGAATGGCCCCATCGGCGCCTCCTTCAAGTTCGCCTTTGGGTTCGACGGCGGCGGCGCTTCAAAGTGATTATGGACCAACCGCCAGTCTCGTGGCCGCGGGCTATTCCTATGCAACAAGTGCCAGCAGCCTGGACAACGGTAAGTGAGCAGCTCCAGCAAGCGATGAGGGTGAAGATACACTGAAAGAAAAAGTCGGTCGTAGTAGGGAGTTTGAAAAGACGAAGCTTAGTTAACCAAAAGAAGTAGTAGTAGTAGATTAAAGATTAAGGAAATAAGATTTTCTAACCATGCTAAGAAAGTTATTAGTTAGTTTACTAGAAATTTTCCACAGTGCACCCACTTGAGGGGTGTCGGACAGCTCTGTGAAGGGGGGATCGCAATGTTCCTGGGTGTTCGCGTCAATCAGGGTAATTTAATTGCTGACGGTTCACATCTCGGATTACGGTGGACGGGGCATGGCGGGGGCATGCAACATATGGTAATCTATGCCGCACTCGATCGACTCCCTTTCTTCATTTCATAGTTGCCGCCGCCGCAGCGGCAGTCTCGCTGCAGTGTGACTTTTAGCGCTTGTCCATAAAACGAGAACTTCAACTTTAATCGGTTTTCATTTCTATATGTTTGTCCTTCCTTAGGTCTCCGCTCGATTTCGCTGCAGCAATTGCCGGGATTATCCAGCATCCAACAGGCCCAGGCTCAGGCTCAGGCCCAGGCTCAGGCGCATCATCACCATCATCATCATCAGCATCATGGTGGATCTATACATCAGAACCATGCATCCATGACACCGCCGCCATCGCAATCCGGTGGCAACCATGTGATCGACCATTCGCCCATTGATCGCAAACCGGTTTACCTGCCGCCCATCACCCCGCCCCCCACTTCGGTGGCACTGAACGGAGGCGGTGGCTATTACGAGGGACTCAAGTACTCCAATTAGCCAGGCAACTGGGCATTTATCATTATTACCTCAAAGGATACAATAATAATCACGTTTAATTAGGCTCTAAGTGGGGGCAGACAAAGTGTAGTTGCATAGTGCTTAGATGAGAAATTATATATATTAATAAATCATAAATACATTGTACGCATAGCAATAAAAACAAATTATTTATAAACAAGAAACACGGAAATTTAAATAAATTTTAAAGGTATTTGGGATTTTAAGGAAGAATTACTTGAGAGATGTTACGTGATGGCAGGCGTCTCACTACGTGACTTTAAAGGCTTACTACGTTACGTTAACCGCCAGGCGCAGTACGTTGCTATGGCTTGGGCTATCTGTTATACAATGCGTTATACTTCCCTTTACTTTACGCTTTATTCTACACAATGTAAGAGTACTACCAGTTATATGACTTATTTTACTTTATTAGTTATACTATGTGTTATACAAAGAATATTTTTTGGGTTATGCCACTTTTTTTTCTGTGATATTTACATTTTAAAGTCAAAACAAATTTGATAGGCATAACTGTTCTTACATATATGGTATGACAGCTCTGGCCAACAGTAAAGTACTTATGGGCAGCATTTCTCAAAGGATCCATTGGCGTGTTTGCATGTACATTTTTGTGTAAAATTAAGTAGAATTATTACGTTTTATAGCGCCCTCTGTAAGTGTAAACACGCTATCGGACGTAGTGTGGCGCCACCATTACGATAGGCAAGCAAGAAATCGATAAGTTTGAATTATCGTAAGGTCGCTTTTTTTGAGATAAAGAAAATAAAATATTTTAAAAATTTGTCTGCTACTAGAAAAGAATAAGAACAAAATTTTTATTTGTTTTCTATTTAATTTAAGCGTAAGAGAATTCAAAACTGATAATTTTTCTAAAAATGTATTGAATTAGCTAACTCTTCTCCTAACTCTTCTCCTAACACTTTGAAAGTTTCGATACTAATCCATTTAGCACAAAACTAACTTTCCTCGTATCTTTCCTAATCCACTCGGATCTATCCCCGTGTTCCGAGCCGTACGTCAGACGGCAGCGCCCCTCGGTCGGTTGGGCGGGAGGTGGGTTGCACGTCAAGCAACGGAAGTCGCGCGAAAAAAAAGCTATGCCTAAGACTTACTTTTTTTCGGAGTTAAGTTAGCAGTTTAAAAAAAAGTAGAATAATAAATTTATAATACCAGTATTTAATATAAGCTGTAGTTTATGTAAATCGCATATAATATATATATTATCCCAATCGCAGCAATATTTTATTAATTAACCATAAATAAGGTAAAACCTGTCATACAGAACAAAGTTTCTTCCCCTTTTTGAAATATTTTCAAGGGTAAACATCAGATAACGACAAGTTAATTGAGCCACAAGCCCCGGATAACCAACCCGCACTCTTTAGAAACTAATCAGCTTATCGGATGACCAAAGTCCCTCAAAACTCGGACACAAGCCAACGAGCAACCAACATTGTCCGCAAGATCAACAATCCAATTATTCTGTTAATTGTCTCACCTTTATGAGCAAATTAAAATCCAGCCCAGAGTCAAATGGACCCAAGTTCCAGAAGGCAGAAGGATGGCCGCTGGCCATTGTCCTGCAAGGCGAAAAGGCACCAGAAATCGCATCAAGAAGTCGTCGCCGCTGATCATTATCTCGCAGGGCGACGACGTCGTAGCTGGATGACAATCCGGGTATAGGGATATACATATATCCAGGGACCAAAAAGAAAAGAAGGCAATGGGATTCCGGCAGCCGAGACTGAGCAGCCGAAAAGCCAAAGACAAACACAAGCCTGGAAAACGCACTGAGAGAGAGAGAGAAGTTTTGAGTGAAAAATTTCACAGTCAAAGGATAATCGGGATTAAATCTTCTTGAAAAGTTAATGTTTACACACGCACCTACCGTTGGCGATGAGCGCTGAAAAAAAAGATGCAAAAATTATGAAAATATTGTCACAAGTGCACGACCAACCAGCGCACAGAGGACCGCAAGGATCGAGGCAGGACGAGGCTGGACCGAGGCGAACAGGACAATTGCAGGCGGCAATCAAAACATGCAATTGTCCGTTTCTTTCCGCCTCGAATCGAACTCAACTGGCAACCCAAAACCGGATCGAAAAACCACACACTCACAAAAAGGACCAAGGACCCAGGACACACTGGACTCTGAGGCCGAGCCGTCGTAAGAGGATTTGCGCGTCAAGTAAACACACGATTGGTAGGAGCCCGCCCGATTGCCATTTCCAGTCGAAAAAGGATATATCTACAGATATATATATATGGGCAGCCTGCAAAAAGCAAATCGAAGAAGATGCACAGCCTGCATAAATAAATAAATAAATAAAATGATTTGAACATTTTTATTTTCGCACAGAGCGAAAGAGAGACGAAACATTTTTCTTTGCGTTAAAACAAACAATTTTTTAAAAACCGTTTGTTGCACTTCGGAACTCTCTTTCTCTCTCTCTCTCTCTCGTATTTACTTTAAATTTATGCGAAAATTAAAAACGTTTTTCGCAAGGATTTCCAGCTGCCCGGAATGTTTTCATAGACGAGCCATACCAAATTGTCCGGACATCATCGATGCGAAGCGAACAAAAATATAGATTTCCCCATAAACATCCACCCAGCCAGTCAGCCATTTCAAAGAGAGTTTTTCCATTGCGAATTTTCTACCATTTCCACTCTAAAATCAAACCACATTTTCCTCTTCTGTGAACGTCTCGAGTATGTCGCGTATTTCTCTCACAAATAAACAAAAGTCTTGTTGCAATAACATGGCAGGGAATATTTATTAAATAAACATTAGACCAGCAGCCCGAGCAACAGATACGGCTGCCAGTTACAACTTTCAATGGGAAAGACGCGATGGAGGCAAGGTGTTTTATGAATGAATGAAAACCGCTGCCTGACGAGGGGAAATTTGGCATTCCAAATGGTAAATCGTTAATGGTAAAGGGCTTTGACCAAATCAGGTAAGAAACGTCAATCGTATGTGGGCTGTGATTTCTGGGTCCAGGAAGGTGGGTGTAGTCAGTCAGAGAGGCAGATATTTCTGTTAAGGAAACTCAAGAAAAAGATTTATCAAGGGAACTTCTTTGGTATTACCTTTGATGACTGAAAACTTGAAGTATTTGCAGATTTTTAAGCAGGGGTAAAAATATAATACTTAAAAATGCAGAAACTTTTCTTTCTTGGTATCTTAAAGAAAATCCTAGGTAGCTATACTTCCATCTTACCTTTATCCGTTTATATGGTTTAAAATTCTACAAAAAAATAAAACATTTTAGTTTTTATTTGGCTAATTGAGATCTTTTATGTGCACTTTTAGTTCAAAAACACATTCAGAGATTGTGAAACTTGCATTGGGTTTTAAATTCGAAAGATGTTGCCTACAAAGAAGTTATACACTGAACTTAAACTCTTATAATACTATCTGGCAAATCTTAACTAACCTGCTTTCTTACCCATACCCATCTATTAACCCTTAACTTACACCTCCTCTCTCATCATCATCATTCCCATTAGCTTCTCCTACAACTAACTTCCTGGAAGCAGCTCATTACTTAGTCAAAAGATCCACACCTCGGCCACGCTCCCAATGCTCATCTTCAACCAACCCAATCGCAGTACCAATCCCGAATCCAGAAACCAGCAGGAGAAATATTTGGTAGCCAGAAACACCCACTTCCCAGCGGGTTGCAGCTTGTAAGCCATAAAAATGAAAACCACAAATAAGCCACCAAAGCCGCAGGACACGCGTAGAATCATCATTACCATGATAATCATTACGGCAAGGGAATAATATTTTTGGGGGGAAAAACCGGACACATTGAGCAGAAGCAGAGGTCAGGTAGTCTTGAGGTCGGCAAATCTTAAGCATCTGGGGGAAAACCCTGGTGAAAACTCAAGATTTCATTAAGAAATTTCCCGCGGCGCGCATTAAAGTCTAAACATGCCTAAAAAGTTTCCCCTCCTTGCGGCCGATCAATGCCTAAGCATCGATGATTAGCCCTTGGCATCCGGTGTGTGGCTGGCCAGGTAGGTAGGAAACTTGATTTGAGATACGAAATTCCGGACTTAGCGCCGTCTCCAGAATTTCCGCTGCTTATGACCGGAAGATTTTCGCCATGATTACGCTTATGATTAAGCTAATGGCGGATATTTCCCAACCCCTTCCCCGGAATGCTCACCCTAGCGTGTGCGTTTCTCTTTGTGTGTTTTTGTCTACAACTAATCTGCTAAATTGTCTGGCCAAAAAGAGGAGCAGCAGCATCAGCAGCAGCAGTAGTAGGAAAAAGGGGAAAACTTTATAGAATAAATATGCATAATAAGCCCGCAACTGTATACAAATCATAAATTTTAATGAGTGGCCAATATAGACTCCCTTACTCGAAACCATAACTCCGGAACCACCCCAAAAAACTCAACCAAAAACCAAAAAAGAGAGATACAAAAACGAGGGTGGGGTGTAAAGTATCTATGAAATATTGTGGCTACATGAAACTGCAGTGTGCAAGGGAGAGAGAAAGATATAGCCAATGCCATGACTGCATCTCTTTCTCTATATAGACCACGCCCCCTTCTCAATGCTGCGCAGTCGTTTCTGTGAGTGTATGTGTGAGTCCCCCTTTTCATATTGGCAGAGGAAATGAGAAAATGTTGCATATTCATGAGAGAGAAGTTTGCGTGTGAGTATCTGTGTATCGGAAATGTATCTGTGTGGGTTACTTTTGTACTTTGGTGTGCGTTAGAGTGCGCATATTTGAAAGATTGAAACCGCTTTATCAGCATTTTTCCTGCATTTCTTTTCCTTTCCTTTCCGTTTCCCTTCACCAAGCAAAAAAAAAAATCGTATTTTTTTTGGCTGCCTAAGTCCTTGGTTCAAGTGTCTGATTAGGTGCACTCCCCTGCACTTTAAAATCAATATTATTCTTGGATTACTCACCCAAAAAAAAAGTAGAAGGAGAGCGGGAAGGGCAAGGAATTCTGGCCAAAAAGGGCATTGCTAAAATTTAATAATGGACAATGAGCTGCCACATGGCGGGACTCTTTTCTTTGGGTACATATTTGCCTGCTTACGATGGACCTCTCAGATCTCTCAATCCCATTCCCAATCCCCTCCATCACCATCTCCAACGAAGCGTTGTCAACGGCGGTGTCAACGTTCCGTTGACTGCATCAAATTGAGCGTGGCAAATGGGCGAGACGAGACAGCTCTTTCCAGCTCTGCCTGCCACTTCCCCAAATTAATGGTCGGGGCTTTGGGGGCTGTCACTTGAATTTGGCGAATCCGTTTGCCAAATTGACAAGTTTTGGGCAGCCAGAATGTGTGGCTCATCAAGGTCTGGAGGTCAAAGAACTTTGTTTGGCTTTATGATCATTTTAATTGGGTAATTAAGGGTTTGTTTTGTATTTGATAGATGTTATGAAAAATTTCAGTTTATTGAGGAACTATAGTAGGAATACATATGGGCAGTTAAATATTTTTAGTAAAGTTGATTTCTAGTTAAAAAAATCTAAAAAAAATGTCATAAAATTCTTTCAAATGTTAAGAACAAATGTTGAAAAATTCATTTCAAAGAGTTTTTAATTAATATTAATTATAGTTTCTAAAGTTAAGCACCCCATAAGCCTTCTTTTCAAACCCCCAACCAAATAGCTTTCAACTTTCACTGCATTGCGAGGCGAAAATGTTAAGTTGCAGTTTTTGGGAAACTAAACAAATATTTGTATAGGTCAAATGCAGTGGGAAGGCGGCAGATACAGATATAGATATAGATATCGACTGCGAAATGGTCAGATCCGATAGAGTGGCGGCCTGGAGTACTACGGATAGTGACAGCTGTGTGTGTGTGTGGGAGGGATGGGGGAAAAATCGGACAGACAGGCAATGGCAACTACGTAAAAACAACATGAACTGTGCAAAAATGCACAGACATATCCACAGACAGTTACTCACAAAAAACAGCTCACACCCATCGAAGAGGGTAACCCATACAATGGCAATCACGGCGCCGATGTCGAAGACAAAAATTTGTTAAATCAGCAGCGGCAGCAGCAGCAGAAGAACTCCTAAAAAAAAGAAAGCTCAATAAAAAATGGAAAAGAAACTGACAGAAGGAAGCTGAATAAAATGCGTAAAATGGAGCAGATGAGCCCTGTCGAAGCTCCAGAGATGCCTCATTCGAATTTCAAATGCAGGACATGGATAACTGGACATACACACATGACGATGATTCATTGTTCATCTTCATCCTGCTGCTACCACTCCCACTACCACTCCTCCAGCAGATCGTATGCGAAAAATTATGTTAAAACAATAAAAATATTTGTCAAAATAATGCGATTGCGTTAATAGAGACAAATATTATTCTTGTATCAATTACCCAGACGAGTTGGGCTGTTTCTTTTTTTTGCGCATGCAAAGTGTTCTGCCTTTTTGCAGTTTAAGCCAAAGCCCGAAAAAAGGGTTAAATAAAAATAGTCAGCATACTTTTAAATTATCCAAATATAAAAGTTGTTTGTTTTCCCTGCGTCTAATAACCAGACAAACACCCAGACTCGCACTCGCACTCGCACATATACTTGCCCTTGCCCAAATAAACATATAAAATTTACTTTAAAGCTGACAAAGTCAATAAAAAATATTGTTTCAATAAGCAGGAAAAAAGAGAAGCGAAAAATAAAAAACGTGAAATGCAAGAACAACAGGGACGCAGGGGAAAGGAGTTTTTATATATACAGATCCTACCTATCTATGACTGTATCTTTATTTGTTTTGGATTTGGGTTAGCAGTCCATTGAAAAAAACAGCCCCAAAAAGAGCGTGAATGAGCAGGGAACTTGATTAGCAGGAGTTACATTTTTATCAACATCAAAAATGCTAAGTAAATGTTTTCATAAAACTTAGCTAAGGTCATAGTTAAGCTTTGCTTAAATAAATAAATAGATTTGTGTTGTCATTTGGATTTTTAAATACGTTTATTAGCTTCTAAGCCTTCGTTTTAAGAAGGGCATTAGATTGGCTTAGTGTTAGGGCAACCTTTTTCTTATCTTTAAGAACTAGCTTTTTCACATTTAAAGGAAAAATTAAGATCATTAGATAAACTCAAACTTTTAAAACATAAATCCTTTCAGGTAAAAGTTATTTTCCTGAAATAAAATCACGTTTCTTTACAACCTTAAAAACCAATCTAGAAACTTACCTTAAAGAGCCGCCTCTATAATATCTTCTTCCTCATAAAAACCAAAACCAAAAGCCCAAAAAGGTTCTTTAATTTAAGCACCCCCACAAAAATACTTAATTCCAGGCCCGAAAAAAAACGAAAACAACCTTCAAACGTGGCCCATAACTTGGCCCTCAACATCTTGGCCATACAAAATCCATCAAACTGCAAATTAGCAGACAACTTTCGTAGCCCTGCCCGGCCCGCCCTGAAAGAAAACCCGAACTTTAAGCTGGAAACGAAAAAAAACTTTGTCCACTAATTTATGCTTGAACTCAGAAAGAGAGGGAGTTAAGTGGGTAGATGGGTAGGATGACTTCAGCCCTGTTTTTTACCACCCACTTGTGCTGTTGGCTTTCCCAGGTGCCTTAACTAAATGTTCCTCACTCGCTCTAGCATGTACAGCAGCTTGTATCTTGTATCTCAGAGATGGTAGAGCAAGGGAGAGAGCAGGCTAGGCCGTATTTTAAGCATTAGTTTAAACAACAAAAACAAGGGGTAACTCAAGAGGGGGGAAGTGGGTGGTGGTTGAAAGGACACACAGCGTGGCTAACTAGCTAACTAACTATTTTCCCCTGTGAAAAAAAACCATGAATGGCGTCCGCTGGCTCTTACTCTCTCTCGCTCACTCTCTCTATCTCTCTCTCACTCTCTCTCTCTCGCATTACCACATAGATACTTTAGGCTGCAAGTGTATGTGTAGCATACACTTCACTTACTGACTGCGAGTGGCAGCCATCGTTGGTTGGCTGCAGATACAGATACAGCACATAGATACTTTCGTGGCAGCAGATACAGAGATACAGATACTTTCTGATACTGACGACGACGACGACGACGACGCTCTGCCGACTGCAAACGCTTCTGCTCGATGCGAGCTGTGTGTTATTTCAGTTACACAGATTCAGTATCAGACGTGTTACTATACCGAACGGTTCTGCGCTCGCTCTGCGCTCCCATTTCCCCTATAAACCATATATATATATATATATCTAGATATCTACCTATATATATATATACATATATCTTATGTGCCCGACTTGTTTAAGCAAATATTATCGCTAGTAATAATAAGAAGCAGCAAATGTTGAAGTGATTGAATTCGAGAAACAAAAATAACATAAAAAACAAAGCAAAAGAAAAGTTAAAAAAGAAAATTTGAAAATACACCACAAGGCGGCAGTGGAAAATCGAGTAGAAAATCCGCCGGAATCGCCGCCATGCATACGTTATTCAGCGACCAGAACTCCTTTACCCGCCACTATGCCCAGACCGCCGCCGGGTACGGATCAGCTTCGGCAGTGGCGGCGGCAAGCAGTGCCTCGGCAGCAGCGGCGGCACATTACGCATACGACCAGTACTCCCGCTATCCGTACTCGGCCAGTGCCTACGGTCTGGGTGCACCGCATCAGAACAAGGAGATCGTGAAGCCGCCGTACTCCTACATAGCCCTGATAGCCATGGCCATACAGAATGCGGCCGACAAGAAGGTCACCTTGAATGGCATCTATCAGTATATCATGGAGAGGTTTCCCTACTATCGGGACAACAAACAAGGCTGGCAGAACTCCATCCGGCATAATCTTAGCCTGAACGAGTGCTTCGTCAAGGTGGCCAGGGATGACAAGAAGCCCGGCAAAGGTTCCTACTGGACCTTGGATCCCGATTCGTACAACATGTTCGACAATGGCTCCTTCCTCCGGCGGCGTCGTCGTTTCAAGAAGAAGGATGTGATGCGGGAGAAGGAGGAGGCCATAAAGCGACAGGCCATGATGAACGAGAAGCTGGCCGAGATGAAGCCCCTTAAGCTGATGACCAATGGTATACTGGAGGCCAAGCACATGGCTGCCCATGCAGCGCACTTCAAGAAGGAACCACTGATGGATCTGGGTTGCTTAAGCGGCAAGGATGTATCCCACGCTGCCATGCTGAACTCCTGTCACGACAGCTTGGCCCAGATGAATCACTTGGCCGGCGGTGGTGTGGAGCATCCCGGTTTCACCGTGGACTCCTTGATGAATGTCTACAACCCGCGTATCCATCACAGCGCCTATCCTTATCATTTGAATGAGGATAACCTGGCCACGGTGGCTAGTAGTCAGATGCATCATGCCCACCATGCCGCCGCCGCCCATCATGCCCAGCAATTGCAACGTCATGTGGCGCATGTAGCCCATCCTCTGACGCCTGGCGGTCAGGGAGCTGGTGGCCAATCCTCTGGACATTCGCCCACCACGATCTCAACGCCCCATGGACCCGCGCACGGAGGTTGGTACACCCCGGAGACCCCGCCATCGGAACCACTTCCTCATAATGGCCAGCAGGGCACACCCACCCACCCGGGCAACAATAACAACAACAGCAGCAGTGTACTTAACCACAATGGAGTGGGCAATGGAGGCGGTGGCGGTGGAACCTCAAGTGTGCTGACCAGCAGTCCCACCTCTGCATTGGGTTTCCGTGACATGATCTTCGAGCAGAATCAATCCTGTCAACTGGATACGGGAAGTCCAACTGGTAGCCTTCAATCCGCTAGTCCACCTGCCTCCGCATCTGTGGCAGCGGCATCAGCGGCAGCCGCTGCGGCGGTGATCAGTAGCCACCATCATCATCATCATCATCATCATGCGGCTCTAAGCGGGAACCTGGGCCAGCTGGGCCAGCTGAGCAACCTGAGCCACTACCGACCACATGTGGGTCACTACCAGGAGTACGGCATCAAGTACGGGGTCTAAGCTGAGGGATAGCTGGGCTCTCTTGTATATTCCTGTAAATATACCATATAGAACGAACCACAGCTCTAGGATTCATCATCTGCATCCAGAATCTTGTATCTCAGATCTTTTATTGTTTTCCAACTTGTTTTGCGATTGTATACGAAGTGGGTGGGAGCGGGGGGTGAGAGAGAGAGGGAGTTTAGTTGTTAAGCTAAAACGCATTATTGTATTAACTGTAATTTGTAATTTTAGCCCGTAATTGTTATCGAATTTAGGCTTAGTCCCAATCGTCTGCTATGCAATTTGTGATGAGGTTTTGCTACACAGAATATAAACTTAAATTAGCGCATTTTGTCAATAACTAAAAAAAAAAACTAAACAAAACAAAAGAAAAGAAAGTAAAAAGATGAAAGTAACTACCGCATCGGATCTATCGTTTAGTACACTAGCCTAGCCCACGTAAGCAATAATAAATTATAAAACTAAATCGTAGCTATAATCTAATTATCAAAAAATTAGCGTACACAAAACCAATATGAGCCGAACAAAAAAGTGTATTGAAAATATGTTAAAATATCTCAAATCGTGTGTTTTATTTTTACTTTTACTTAAGACTTTTTTCCATTACTTTTTACGAATTGGAATGGCCTTTCCATCTGGTCATTTAGCACTCTGGCAAAACAGACTTTTTAGCCCGAAACTGGCTAGCTAACACCCATGAATTCCTAGATAAATAATTATTCAAGCCGTGTCCATTTCGAGCTCTGAATGGCTGACTCAACGAGCTAATTGTCATTGGAAGATGGTAATGGCTTTCTTGGTAACAGGTAAACAGGTATCATGTCATATGAAGGCGATCAGGTGGCTGCAGTTCTGATGGATTTGCAAATGGAGTTGCGAGTGTCTAATTGAGGGATCCGTCTATCAGGCAGATTTCATTGCAAATAAATTAGATATTATCTCTTTTGAATTGATCTTAATTTTACTACTTAACATTGCTATTTATTTCTCAAAATATTTTTTTACTACTATTTTCTACTACTATTTACTACTACTATTTACTATTACTATTTACTACTACTAATTCTATCGAGAATTCCATTGGCCTTTGCTATTTATTTCTAAAAATATTTACTACTACTATTTACTACTGCTATTTACTACTACTATTTACTACTACTATTTACTACTACTATTTAGTACTACTATTTACTACTACTTTTTACTACTACTATTTACTACTACCAGTTCTGTTGAGAATTCCATTGGCCTCAACTTTGCTATTTATTTCTAAAAATATTTACTACTACTATTTACTACTACTACTTACTACAACTATACTACTTAAAACTCAAATCTTAAGAATTTTATCTCTGATCATAAAAAGTTCGAGAACTCTGTTGGCCTTAACTTATCCCAGCAAAGGCATCTCATACATTATAAACTATTCAGAACTTCTTTAATAGTCCATTGAGAATCCATTCTCTCAACTAAGAGACATCCTATTATAACCCAAAGAACCACTTTTTGTTATATTTCCCCTAACATGGCATTTATCATGAAAAAATATAGCTTTCACTCAGTCCGCCGCCCAACAATAGCCATTAAATTACAAATCTTTAGTTAAGCAAACTTCAACCACAGTTTTTCCTAGCGACTGCTCCTAATTGCCAGACAATCGCTGCAAATTGGTAGAAAGTAAAACACCAACCTGCGCAACATTAATAACGCGTGCAAAATAAGAAAGACAACTCTTTTCAGCTTATTAGCCAGCAAACCAGTTACGAGATCGATCGATCGAAAGAGCCAAAAAAGATCGATAGATGGCTGACCATTGATTGATGGCTGATTTGGGCGATGACTTATGATGTTGTTCATGATGATGATAGAGGAGCTTGTCATGGTCTCGTCTTGAGGTTGTACGACGCCATTGTCACTTGAGTAAGCTCCGCTTGGCGCCACCGCGGCATTGAGTTCGCCCTCAGTGGAGTCTCTCGATTTGTGGGCTAAACTCCGCTCAGGTGTTTCGCAGCTTGACCCATGGTTGTACATCAGAGGAGGGAAGAAAGGGGGGATATCTCTGTTGTTTTCAATGGCGGACACATCTTGAAAGCCAAGTCAATAGCTATGGCTGTCTGATCGTAGCCATAACAAAGGAATACCTGGCTGGGTGGCATGTGAATGGCGCTCAAGTGCCAGCCAAAAGTGTGCCAAAGTCTGTAGGCCTGAAAGTGAGCTTTAAATGGGGTCTACACTGAGCGGCAGAGCTGGGGTTTATTTTGAGGGTTTTTAAAGCCAAGTGATCTACACTCTGTAGCAGGTAATTTGGTTCTTATAAGCCACAAGCTTTAAATGGAGGACCATTTAGTTCCTATCTCTGAACTTCTCATAACAAAAATCTACTAAATATGGATTCCAAACTGTTTTTCTACCCAAAGCCTGGATTTTCTCTTTGTTTCATCCTCTGTTAAATCTCAATATTTGCTTGGGCAGTGTTCGAACGAGTTTTGGTATGCAAATTCAGCACATTTGGCACCGAAAAATGTTCGGCTGGCTGGTTGTCAACCAAAAATGCGAAGCCATCCGGACTCCATTCGGTGTCAAAAGCAACAAAATTAAATGCGAAAACAAGGAGGAGTGGGGTGTAGGGATAGTCGATATATGTTTGCTCTTCGAGTGCAGCCGTTTGCTGATAGCGCGGGTGGTCCAGAATTTACAGAATCCAGAAACCAGAATCCGGAATCCTCTGTTTCACAGGCGGAGAGGACAAGAAAAACAAACGGCGATGGCGACAAAATGTTGCACTGTTTGCTTAGCGATAAGGACGCAGTCACACACAGGACACACACTCATATATATATACATATATATCTGTATAGGAAAACTGGCAGGACAACAATGCCAAATGTCCAATAATCAAAAGGGGAAAGGGGCGGAGAAAGGCGACTGCTTTTCGGATACCGCATACCTCCCATACAAATATTGACAGCTGTCTATGTGGCTCATCGCGCAACCAGCCCGATTTACATAAATATTATTGCAAGCCTAATTAAATGCAAGTATTAGCCAGGCTGTTTGGCTGTTGCCCAATGTGTTGCACAAGGATTTTGGTATCCCATATACGAGTATTCTATTCTATACTGACTATGACTTGGCCCCCAGGGAGATCCTTTGTAATTAACGCTGCTTATTTTTCGGGCTTTTCATTGAAAAACTTCAGCCGCCCTTCAGCCACAAAACCCAAACCCAACCCCCTCTTGATATTTATTTACCTGGCCAGTTGTGTTGATGACCTGTTATCATTGCCCCGTTATAACAATAAATTCAACGCTCCACACTGAACCAACGTTGACAACAACACTCCGCCTTTTTCGATCATCATGATGATGATGATGATGATGTTGTTGTTCTTGCACGTTGGTTTGGCGTTGTTTTGGCAGCTGTCGTTGCAATTAACCAGGCCATAATAGACAATGGCTCTAAAGTAAATTCATATCGCCTGGTTTAATAACCACACTCACTAGCAGCACGTCGCCGCGGATGACATTTGGAAATTGGGTGTGGGAAAAAATATTCTCACCAATTAATGAACACAAATTTTCCAGTTCGTTTTTACAATGTGAAAAAGCTGAAATTACAAAGGGGAAAATGTGTTTGTGGTAAGAATTTATGTTAAAGAGAAGAAAATGTAAAGAGAGTTTAACTATAAGTTTAAAAAAGTTCATAAAATGAGAAATTTGGAAGGAAACTTTGATCAAATTCATAAATCTACTAGGAATATATAGAAAAAACCAATCTCCAATCATGAAAACCCTTTGAAAAGCTCTCCAAGCTTTATGACTTTCTATTGATTCAAAGGAAATCCGATTCCATATTTCATGATCAAATTCAGATTGATTGTTTGCTCTCCGCTAAAGCAATCGAACTTTTATTGTAGAAGCTCCTTTTACTCCCTAGAAACCATTGAGTAAACTTCCGCTTCCCTTTCGGCCCTTTTGACTCTACGTATAAAGGCCATAAAGCTATAGCTATGGCTATATAGATTTTAGTACCACAACCCGATGTCTGGCTAATACACAATAAGAACGACAACAAAAACAACAATGAAGCCAACTGCATTTTTATGGCATTAAACAAACTTGGAGAGAGCGCATGTTTTCGAACACTTTTGAAGTTTTATTGAGTTATAAATACCCAGAAATGACTTTGGAGTTGCCCAGCCAGCAATTTTCAAATTAAATTTATGATCGATTTATGCAAAAATGAGAAGCAACGCGAAACAAAAAAAAAAAAACCAAGCAAAAATCAGCGCCAGGCGTCGACATTTGAGTAAATTATCCATCTAGGGAGGAAAATGGAGGAAAATCAAAATAGGGGATAGATGGTGGGCGAGGAGTGCAGAATTTATTGGCCGTCTAGGTTGCTTCCAGATCTTGGAACTGAGAGGGGGCAAAACTTTGATTGACTGTTGGGCCTGAAACGCTTTGATGTGGAAGCTATGATGGGTGGATCGATGGATCAGTCATGATGCATGGTGAGGCGAGGCATTAAAGGGGATCTATGATATGTGATTTGAATTTTATAACTTATCTTAACTAATATCTTAGCTTAAATCTGTTTATAAACTAAACTATTATGCCATTACTTTAGGTTGAGTTTTTAAAGTTTTAATTTCCCACTAAAAACTGAAAAATCCAAAAAGCATTTTCCCAATTACGAACCCAAATAGCGAATTAATTTTCCTACGTATTTGCACTAGCAGAAATATAAATAGAATTAAGGTTAATTGCATTCTTCGAAATCTTCTGTTTTTTTTCGCACTGAAAATGTCTGGAAACGGCCATAAAAACTCCAAATGGGCAACACTGATCCTTTCCCCCTTCTTTAACCAAATAAAGTTATTGCCTGGCTGAGTTGATTATCTATGCTGATGCTTGGTTTATTTGGCTTATCAGGCTTTTTTTTTTTTTGGCTTTGATGTCACTTGGGATATATCATTCTGATTCTGATTCACATTCAGTTCAATTGGGAGCGATGTTTATGCGTCAGCCGGGCTTCAAATGTTCAGTTTTTTTGCGCCATTTGATGCTGCCGCCGAAGTTGCCAACCAGTTGACGCGACATAAGAAAATAAATAAAATCGGGGGGGAATAACGAGAATTGCGAATAGTTTATAGGCCCCTTTCCCCAGATGATTTTTTCCTTTTTTTTTGCGCAGATTCAGCACTATCAAAGTGCCAGGGGCCCGGGACAACGTCTTAGGCCGAAAGTCAAATAATCAAATTCAGCATCAAATCCGCATCTCACGCGTCCCAGCCAGCAATACTAAAATCCATTGTTTATTTTCTAATTTCGTTGGCGTGTAAATCACGGAAACG